CAATTGTGTTTAAAGTTTGCAGTAAAATTCCGCTGTACAAAATATATTCATTGTTTTCCAGATGCAAAAATAGTTCAAACTCTTTTTGGACAAAGTAAGTGTAGAGGAGCCTTTGTCGTATTTTACAAGTTGCTCAGCGAGCCATGCTTGAAGCACTTTAATTAAAGTGATTAAAAACATTGTTATGTTTCCTCCACTGTTGCCTTCACACAATCTTTTGTTTCTCCCAGGTTGAAAAGAATGAGAGAAGGGAAAAAAGCCATGATTATGTTTTCAGGCAGAAAAGTTGGAAGTTCTTTGTTTGGAGCGAGGTTCCGGGTGCAGCACACTGTTTAGCTTGGTGACCCTGTGACTGTCTTCTGAGGAATTGTGTGAGCAGCCCTGCAGAATATGCCGCAGGCTAAGCTTTCATCTTAGCAGTAACCTGTGGACTTTAAAACTCAGGGCGATGGAATTGCAGCTTTGTCAGTACACTACTAATTAGAAAATTCCTGACCTCAAGCAAGATGTTTTAATTATGTGTTGTGTCAACGAGTTTGCAGATTTAATCCACAGTTGATACACACAAGTGTGTGCTCTGTGTCGCACATTGTAGTACCTCAAGTGGAATGGCTCCAGCTTTATCCTTTCATATAACCTTGTGTTCTTCCTGCACTACGCTAAAGAGCCATCTCTCGCTTAAGAAGCCAAATTAGACGTGCACTTAATGTGTTAGCTTGAACATTGTACCGGGTGTTAGCTCGCTGTAGCAGTGAGTCAGTGAGAGAGAAGCCAGGAAGGGGTTAAACAGAAATTGAGCGGGGATGCTGGGGGCAGCAGTGCTGCAGAACATAGCAGTGTTCGTGCGAAGGCAAGTCATTTCCCGAAACACTGCAGACACATGGCCTGCGGCGCTCTAAAACCTTTGGAGACCAAAATGGCTTGCAGGAGTTAGAAGTAATAAGGTGTTTTTTGCCTTCTTTCTCCTTGACTGAAATTCTGCACAGTTGCTATGCATTGCCATGGAGCTGTGTAGCTGTTTCTATGTTTTATGTGGGCATTAGGATACCCTGCAACTGCCCATTTTTGAGATTTGCTGTTCTTTCTAGTGAAGCAAATGGAGACCGTTTCCTTTTAAAAATAATTCTCTCATTTTTCCCCATGATCCAAGTGTCTAACTTTATCGTATTTCCTTTTTGTAATACAATAACATAAACATAGGAAGCGCGTAAAAGAGAAGAAACGGGTGCATGCAACTCTCTGCTCCATTCCCTAACTTCCCTACATAGCACTGGATTTTTGTATCAGCCCTGTAGGATCATGGGGCATTGGTGTTGTTTGGGTGTAAATCTGTCCATTCTGACCTCTTTGATTGTCTGTGTGCAGAGCCAAAAGCCCTTTTATCCTTTCGCCTGGTTTTGTTAATCTTGGCTCACTTGTCCTCTTCAAAGGAAACCTCGGCATATAATCTATGTACATCTGTGAATTATTATTCTAATTCTTTATACGTTTATTAGAGCTGAATAAACTCCACATCAAATACATCACTCGGGCAATGTCAGAAAGCCCCGGGCACATCAGCCGACATCTGTTAACTCTTTCAAAATGGCCTCATCCAGCATGTCTGTGGGCGTAGAGGAGCGAGGGAGCATAGAGGCTAGAGAGAAAGGCTCTGGTGCTGATTAATGGCGGCCATAGAAGAGGCATTTGAGGCCGAGTGCGGAGCTGAAGCGGCCAGCACTCCCACGGCTCGGCCCGACACTGCTGTAAACAGTGTGCAGGGACAAAGCTGCGTTCCCCAGATCAAATGCAGCGTGGAGCACAACATGTGGGAGAGTTTTGCTGCCTGGCACACAGTCAGTCAACCAGTTAGTCTTTCTTCCAACAGATTAGGGTCGTAGTCCGCTAGATTTCCTTCCAAGACATAATTTACCAATTTCAAGTTATGTTGCTTTCTGCTAAATGTAAAGATATGATTCTTCAATACTCAATTACTCCTGTTTCTTCTGACCCTAAAACAAAAAATAAATAACTATGTAACAATTTTAAATGTCTAATATAACCACAAAAAAACTGTGCTCTTGCTCTCAACACAGTCAAGTTCTATCACAACTTTTCACATGAACTGTACATGTATTTTGGTCGCATCTTTAGATAAGCTTGTTCAATGAATAGAGGTTGGTCAGCCAATCAGCTCCCAGTATGTAAACTATACATACTCCGTTACTTAAACATCCTTAACAGTACATACATAGGCCTGCTGTGTATGTGCAGTTGTGGGTGTAAGGAGGACAGCGCTGATACAGCAGCTTAAGCCAAGTGGCTCTGTGTGCCGGGCAAAGTGGGCCATTAACCCGCTGCCTTGGGCTGTGACCTGGGCCAAGTCGAATATTTGCCTCAGTGTCAAGACCCAGGTGCCACTCAGAGATCAAAGCCACACATCGGCAAGAAAACCTCAGCCCAGGTCTTCTGACTGTGTCAACTCTCAAAGAAGGACTGTAGGAACCTTCAACCGGTCTGAATGTGTGTGTTCTTGGCTCTCTGCTTTGTGTTCTCTGCTTCAGTCAAATGTCCAAATAGATGTATCGAAATATCCCTGCACACTGTACGATGGATATGTCCTATGACATCATGCCTTGCAGCAGCCATCACCGCTAAAATGACAGATGCTGTTTTTTGCCTCATGGATCTTTCCAAGTCAATCACATTTCTGGGTTTTGCTTTTCCTTCTTTTTTGTTGTTGCTTCATTTCATTCTTTTCCAAGATTCCAAACCTGATCTAGTGTGCAGCATTCATGGGCAAGCATAGACATCTTTATGGAGACTCTATGAAATAGGTTTGTGTGAAGAAAGAAAAAAAACTGTGTGTGGTCTGGAAATGTCTTGACTGTCTTTGATTTACCACAAGCCCTTTCTCACATGAAGCTCTAATCTGAATCAGAACCAAATTTACATGAAGATTCTCTAAACACATATAAACTTTGAGTTGCATTATTCCTATTCAATTATGAATTTATGATAATTATAAAGTTGTATAAAGACACAATTCATAAAGTACATACAATAACCACAAATTCGGTTTTCTAATTCCACACTAAATCTAAATTGTTTGACCTGAATTATGGACATGAATAATTATGATTCATAATACAACTTTATGGTGTATATTTTATATAATAGTATACTTTCCCAAGTGGAAGTCGAATGAGTCCGTTGCTTGATGTTGAGGAAAGTGACTTTTTCCACTGTCGCTGAGAGTTCAAATGCAGTTCTAAAATTCTGTACATTCATCTATTTTCTTCCCCTTAATCCCCTGATTGTCGAGGTGGGAATTGAACCCACGACCTTCAGGCTTAAAGGTCAATGCCCTACCAACTGAGCTACTGTCGCCCTATTCTACATATTGTACAAATTTTGTACACCTTTTTGAAACCCTTAAACCCATCCCTCATCGCATTTGCCCTCAACTGCAATCAAAACACTATTACATGGCTCTCACTTTGAAGTTAAGTATTACCTATGTTTTTGTGACGTGTCGCAATATCTTGTCTCACTATCAACTATCGGTATTATAGTTCCAAGTATCAATATGTTTGATGAGGACCGCCGCGAGACCCATGCAAAGCAGGAGTCAATGCGAGTCAATACTCAATGAAATCTTGCATCTTCGTATGAGCTACTGTAGCATGTTCTACCTCAGGAAAACAACCACATTGTTCATCTCAGATATCCAAACCCATGTTCAATGAATGAATGAAAGTAATTGTTTGTTCGATATACAGTACCTAAACTAGATACACAGAAATGACCACAGATGCAAAATATGAGCATTAGAAAAACATTTCACTGGGTCGTATCATGATATTGTTGTAATCATATGAACAATATATTGACAATTACAGTATTGCCATATCAGGATTTTATTGTGAAGTGAGCCGTGTATCGCATATTGTATGGCAAGCGACCCAGAGATTCCCAGCCCATTTCTTTTAAGTAAATTGGTAAGTGATCTTTATTTATATAGCGCCTTTTACAGACCAGAGTCACAAAGCAGTTTACAATTGAGGGCATTTGTCTCTCACTCCACACAGAGATGGGAGTTGTTTACTCTAGTGATGTATTGTATAGTAAAGTATCTAAGTATAATTTTTGAATCAAACAAATGTGTTTTAGGTGTTACATTGGGGCGATGTCACCTGCTGCTCATGTACAGTAGAGTTTGAGTCAACACGCTGCAGTTTCTCCCAAACCGCTCTCCTCTCCTGGATGTGTGCCGGCAGATTTGTGGTCTGGCTACCTTCACTCATCGGCTGAAGCTTAGCTAGGATACACACACGTAATGCAGACATGGGCCAGCCTCATACTTGGCTTTTGTAAGTTCATGCCCATAATGTGTTTATAATCAAGGCCTGTCTGTACTGTGTGTTTACAAAGCATGGTGTTCCCGGCCCAAACGTAGAGTCGCCTCACTGCTTGGTCCAAGTGGGCACTGGCTGGATCTGTTTTACATCGTTTGAAACGTAAACAGATTTGTATGATCTTCTCAATGTACGTTCCTCTTCACTTGGTGTCACGTTCATAATGTAGAGCATTTATTGTAGCCATTCTCAACCTTAGTCTTCCTTTCTCTTTCCTGCTCATGGGTTTGTCAGCAACCCAAACTACTTTCCTCCCGAGATGTGACAACAAAATGAACTATGGCCTTTTGTGGTTTAAAATATGAAACATATTTGCCTTTTTTTAACTCACCTGTTTTAAGTTGGTTCTCTTTCTATTGGGATCCCTTTACTACGTTTTTGGTAGTCATCAGAGATCAAATTTATCTCAAAACTTTATCCCATATACTGCCTTTACATAAGTAGTAAATGGGGGTCTTACAACACTCTCTTAAGGCATTTTGCTAGTAATCATTTACCACTAATATGTTTTTTTGGATGGGTGGTGGTGGATGCAGTGGACAAGAGTCAGAAAGTTTGTCAGACTGTGGTTGGAAAGTTGAATCCTGTTTTGTTGTGTTCCAGGCGGTTGGGAGTGCGGCAGATTCTCCAGCAGGCTCCTCGTCCTCCTCACGGCACACACGCCAGCGCATCACTCGGGTCAACCTCAGGGATTTAATCTTCTACATGGAGCAGGAGAGAGACATGGCCCACTCTGTGCTGCTGTATCGGGCTTTGCTCAAGTAGCGGACACCTCCTCCCTGCCACGTGCCTTCAGATCAGGTCCAGCATTACAGCTCTGTCTCCCCTCTTCTCCAGTGATGTCGGTTGTCAATTTTTATATTGAAAAAAGTAAAGAAAACACACACTATGTTCTTATCACTGCTGCTTGTATCATGTTTTTGCATGTGGGATATTTACTTTACACATTTCCACATTTAATTGTTGACGGTTTTATTGTAAAACATTGTTAGCTGTATCCATGATGAACATAATTCATTCATAATGTTGTGATGACCTCAGTGTTCAGTTTGAGGGATTAGTTCAAAGAATGTCATAGTTAAGAACTAGAAAATGTTTACATGTTGTTGACTCCACAAGCATCTGCCACAATCCTGTACTGTATGTGTAAATATTGGCTTTTGGATTATTTTACAGCATGTATGTACGTATATTTTATTACGCTTTGTACAAAAAAATCCATATGTTTTTTCTTTTTAAATCTATATATGTATGTTTTAAAACAGTGATTTTGTGTGTGTCTCTCACAGCGTATATGTGCGTCTGCGTCGATTTCATCATTGTGTTGATGTTGTGTCTTTGAATGTTGATTTTTAGCATCAGCCGATTGAGCGACTGATATTTCGACGACAATTCTATTTCACTATGTGAATATCTGATAGTTTCAACAAACTGAACCTCAAGCACGGCCTTCACTATGTCTCAGCTGAAATCATTTCACATTTCTTTGCCTTTTTTATATTCTGGCTTTTAAAGTATTTCATGTGTTTGTTGCCTTGTTAATCAATCATGTATTATGCACCACTGCCATTGATGTGTTATTTTATATTATTTAAATATTGAACTCTATGCAGCTTGTATTCTTGTAATTACAAAAATACTTAAAACAAATGAATTTTAAATTCTTGATCGCACTTTTACTATTGTTTCCCTAAAAGCTAGTTGTCTCTGTAATAAAAAGAATAATAATGGTATTATGCTAAACAGTGTTGCAGTCCACTTTTCAATTGTAATGTTTTTAATTTTCAATCGGCTTTTAAGTGTCACACATTTTGGTGAATATGAGCTCCATGTTTTCTGATAAGCACAACTCGCAGATGGAGAGTCGACCGTTCTGTGGTTTCAGGCTCTTTCACAAGTGAATATTTCTACATTTTTTTAGCCAAAAGACTAAAACAATATCGCAGATTTATTCACAAAAATATTATTTCACTTGAGGATTATTTGTAAATATATTTGTGATTATTAGAACCGCAATATTTTTGGTAAACTGATGTAAATAATCTTCTGGTTGTGTGAAAAACAGTACTTATGTATTTGTACCTATTTTGTAAAGAAATAAATAAGCTGTTTATTAAACGAGGCCGATCATTGTCTGTTTTTATTAAACTTTTGTTTCAAAGTCAGTCTACTAGATTTATCTAAGATACTAGCTCATATCATTACCAGGAAAAATAAGCTGTTCTGCCTTTTCGAGACCATTTTACATAAGTCAACTTCTAATACCGCCGCTTCATTTCCATTTCTAACGCTACGCACACAAAGTGCAAACTCGGTCGAGTGCTACTGCTCAATGATGAAAAGTCCCTCTAGGTTTCTGCTGCTAATTAAGCAGGAACATTTGTGAAAAGACTAAACCGTTTAACTTGGTGCAAAATATTGGGCTTTGGAGCATATTGGTTTTCTCACACCAATGGCCTCTTCCTCAATCCCTGACAGAGACAGCACACGTACAGTACATCTTTTTATTATCTCAAATAAGCATGAAAAGTCCAATGGTGACATTGTAAATGATCACATGCCCTGTAATACCACAGTCTAAATGGAGGACACTTTTTTTTGTTTTTTAAATAATATACATTTTAACCGTATTATACAATTTGAATGTTTCTATGTACAAACAGTCTTTTCCTGTATTTTCATCCTGCATTTCTTGAAAAAACCAGAGGTATGTTTCATCTTATACAATAACTGTACAAACAAAAGCTGCTGACAGGTCTACAATTGTATTTAGTGGAGACTGACCACGGTTTGGTGAAGTTGGATTCTGCTCAGATGTAACTTGTTGTTTGTCTTGCTGCAGAGCTCTGCGATGCTGTGTTTGAAATCCAGAGTATGGCCATGACAGAGCAGCAGGGGGGCGCACAGAGCCGAGTTTTCTAGTGGCACAAGAGGGGGAGCCCTGGGGAAGAGCGCAGGGGGCAGAGCAGCGCTGTGAAGAGGCGCACTTGAAAAGGGCCCTGGTTGACCATTCCGTTTGAGGCGGGTTGATGCAAAAGCCCAGGCCACTGGCAGGTTACAACAAACACTCTTGATTGTGAACCAAAAGTAGGCTGCAGGCAGAAGCTCTGTGCTGGGGGCAACATTAGCCCCACTACACACTCTTTAATCAGCGGGCCATCCCAATTGAACACCACTGAAGTCCGTTTTTAATAAACATATTTGTACTTTGTTGAAAATAACAAGTCAAACAACTTTTGGCAGCCACAAAGATCTGATTTTTTTTTGGAATGGAAGAAATCTTGTTGTTTAATAAATAGCAAGGAAAAAACGAAACTTGGCCTTTCTTGTTGCAGTGTTTGATCCAGTATTGTTGAGAAGAACAGGGTAAGGACAGGACTCGCTGCAATGTGGAGAACAGAATTTGGAGTACCGCTCACTTTGAGAGCTGCCAAATGTACACATGAGATCATAGAGGCTTACACATGACAGACCTTTTATCTGATTTAGTCTGAGAGAGACGGACTGCACCAGGAGCCAAATGGAAGAACCGCTAATGCCTTTCATCCAAACATTTTGTTGTTTATGCTTGTAAAGATATTGAGATAGTAATCCTCTAAGATTACATATTGCCATTGTACAACAGAATAGACCATAGTACTACATGTATTTAGGTATTACTGTTCTGCTTTCCATGTGGAGAAGATAGGGTATAATCTGAAATGGCAAAACATTGGTAAAAACAAATGCATTTGGGCTGAATAACTCCTACGTATGTGCAAATAATAATTTATATAATTTTATAGTACATCTTATAGACAAAGACGTACTTATTTACAGACCTCAACATTCAAACTCAATTGTGCAATTACCCAGCCTGGATAATTAGAGATATGTTTTAGCATTGATTTTAAAACTACAAAGCACTTTTTTTTAAATGAGTGCCATACATTTGACGTTAAACATTATTTGAAATTCCCAGGATCCTTTCCACGCAGCGTTTTGAACAATGAGACTTTTTTTTCAGCCTTGAATGCACTGCCAGCCAGATCGCTTTAGCCACATAGCCTGCGGCCATCTTGAGTTTGTGCAGCTACTGCCAAGAATCGCTCTCAACAAGCTCTCCAAAAGTCTAATGAATACAGCATTCAAACATCCTTCATAGTTGAGACGAACGCAACATTTAAAATAATCCTATTAATAATAATTGTTTACACCATGTCATGATAAGAACAATAGAAACATCAATGAAAAAAAGAGTACTAAACAATCATCTTGGCGAACAGTGCTCTTGTTTGAGGCTCGTGTCGAACAATGGAGCCAAAAGGGACAATTGGGTTAGGGAAGCTTATAGTCGTAGTCCCAGACCAGACTACACATGTCTCCAAAAGTATTACCGCAAATAAAACACAGGGCGCAGAGTTCAAATAGTCCCAGATTCTTTGGGCGTTGTTTAAAATATTCAAAAAGTGTGTTGCTGATGCGTGTGTTTTCCTTTGTTTGGTTCTACATTCCCCTTAAGTGTTCTGCAGAGCTGGCAAAGGTGCGGATGCTTCTGCTATTTGTATTCTGACTTACACCTTTAGCTGTCCAGCGCAGTGTTTTTGAGAGACGGAAGGGGCATATGGTGGTCCCGTTGAGTCGTGGAGGGGACAAGTGGGGGTCCATCTCTCCACGCTGCCCGGAGCTTCAGTCCAGAGGTTCTTGTTTTATCCTGATGGGGGTGTTGATGCACAGACTCCGGCGGTCTTCACGACACAAAACGTACTCGCTGAACTGGGATGAGTCCACTCCACCGCCGCAGGACGCCGCCACGCTGAAGCCCTTCTGGAAGAGGCGCTCCAGGACCTGCGCAAGAGATGGGGGGAAAGGTATTTTTAAAAACAGTCCCAATTATGTCAAGATTACCCCCTTTTTTCAACGATAAATTTAAGAAAAAATACAAAGCAAAGTTGCTATGTGATAAAGAGAAAATATGTGTCCAATACATTTTGTGGTTCAATATTTATTGTTTGAATGATTTATTTGCAATACAGGGGACATTATTGCATTTTTTTCTGTAATCTGATGACATTTTAGCTGAGGAGAGTTCATTAAGTCACTTTTATGAATCATCATAGCTTTATTTGGCTGTTTATCTGTTTCAGCACATCATTGTTTTTGTGTGCGGGAGAGGCTTAAAAAAAGAAACATGTAATTGACTGAGATTCACCTGTTAACATAAATGGTTTCATCAAATATTGAATGATTAAGATTTCTTTATTTGCTAGCATTTGTTTGATTTGAATCTGGGGCATATGCATTTTTTCAAATAAATTGCATATGTCAATTGTTATCCATTTGGTGAATGCAATGGCATAAAGATAATACCAGTAGAAAGGGGAATTAAAAAAGACATGAAGATGGCAGGAACAGCAAAGACAAGATGGAGAACAGGTCTCATCATGAAAGCACAGGTGAATTTATAGAGCATAGGGACAAGGATAGCAGCAGGTAAGATAAAATAATTAACGGGAGAAAGAACAGACCATAGCAAATCTGAGCACTCAAAGGATAAAGAGCGTCAGGCCAATACATTCTTCCATATGTAAAGTTATTATTGGAATAGAAAACTAACATTTCAGAAAGTGTGAAGCTTATAAACACACAATAAGTTAGTGTAACTTTCAATCTCACACCTGCATCTATAATCTCCACAAATTCAGAGTTTCTTTAATACAAACCAGCTGAATTTACAAATAAACAACCTATTTTTCACTTTTGGTCTTACCATATTTAAATATAGCCTACTGTACCCTTTGACAAGCACAGTCTGAATGCTGGGTAAACTTGCTCAAACCCCACATAGGACTTAGGTCTACGCTGCAGTCCGACACCACACCAGCGCTGTAATATTCATTCTGCTTGTGAATCAAACCCGCGGCACAAGCTAAAAGGAAAGAGAAGAGCCGTGCGTGTTGAGGTAAAGGCTCTGCCCTGCGTAGTGATTACTGGAGCTCCTAATTTGCGTAATGAGGACGGCTGAGGTCCACAAGTGAAGCACACGTGAAAGGAATAGCAATAAGAACTAAGGACACAGAAGATGGGAGATATTAGCCTCTGGTCTGATATTTGGCTACACACACTTTTTTTTACAAACTTGAACTCTGTGCGGCTATATCTAATGGTAGAAGTATTGTTTTTGGTGAGATTATATCTAATCAAATCAGCAGTCTGTTTACTCATCCCCATGTCATTTTAATAGACTGAGAGAGCGCATTCATGTGGAAGGTCTAGTTGAGGACACAGCCCTTCTTCTCAATGCGCTGCTTGGAAAGTTCACACAAAAAGGATTGCTTACGACACCGCAGAAAGTGCAGATTTTAAGGCTTTGAATAATATCTCGAACAGCATAAACATAAGTGCACTCCACTCACACTCTCTCTCCATCACCCACTTGTTGAAGCAATCGGAAAGCGAGCGTTTCCTAATTAAAACACAAATGTGGGATGACATGCTGCTAGAACGGACTACTTGCAACAACAACAAAAAAAGCAAAGATAAAGTTAGAAAACGCCCACATTTTCTCGTCCTTGGGGCCATACGGCACTGACAAACTTGGTAATGTGTGAGACAGAAGGGGCGGCCAGACAGCTGATGGTGCGGACGCCTAATTAAGAGACCTGCCCAAGCATCAAACACACTCCCCAAATCCATGACAGATGATAGAAGAGCCTAACGATTATGGAAATGATATTACATATGCTGCTTTGATCATTGCATCACATTGCATATTCTTTAACCCCCCCTCCGATCATCTCAAGTGGGACTTGCTTGCAAAGATATCGGTCACAGAGGAAAATGGCCCGATCAATACCGATACAGAATACTTTTATCACATGCCTCAAAAGACTTGGGGGTGTTATTTTAGATCGTTTTGGGGAGATTTTAATGACTACACCAGGCCAAACTATGAATGAGAGCACCGTAAGGGGATAAACAAAATAATTAAGATGGGGTTTAAAAGACCACAGGACAATGCCCCAAAATGTATCCCAGATGATGACATATGCAGAGCTTGTCCTGGTTGGTTTGGTTCAGCACAGCACACCGCGGGCCTTCAGATCCGAGCTTGTGTTGTATTTCTCTGCTTATTTTCCTAGCCAACTTGAGCGAAACCATAGCAAACTAGAAGCAAGTCGCATGCAAGCAACAAGTTTTTCCATGTTCATTTGTGTGAAATGGAATTACATCTTGTGAGAATTTACCGCTGTTCACTACTTGTTCCCTGTATATATCAAGATGTGGCGTGAGCAATAGGATTTATAGTATGTTAAAAAAATATTACTGTTGAAAACAACTGAACTTATATGTGACTTTAACAGAACATGGTCTTCATTCAAACCTATGATATCGAAATGTTGAATTAAATTGCTCATAAAATTTGCATTTCCGTAAACATCCTCCGATAAATTGACTTTTTAAGTTAACGGATCATAGATGTCCATTTAATAAATCAATCCTACAGTAACAGAATGTAAAATAAGTAATTTTACATGTTTTGAAGCCTTGTTAACATATTCACATAGGTTCAATGTATCACATTAATACATTTTGTAGAACCATGTATTTTTCAGAAAAATTATGACATATACAATAATATCAAAACTATTATATGTCACTTCTGAATTACAAAACAGCACAAAGTTGTCTCGGAGGAGTTTACAAAGCTGTCGATTCATCAACAGATCAGAGAATCAAACGGTTTGAACACAGGAAAGGCAAAAACAACAAACACAAAGAAGCCATGGGTCCATAGGGGGCGGGACGACCAATGTCCATAAAATCTTAATGAACTCAGAATCATTAATGTATCTTCTGAATCTAAAACGTCATTGTTTTACAAAGAAAATAGCAAATAGCATTATATTCCCAATTTTGAGAATATACTGTTTTGAGTAAGAAAAAAAAGCTTTCTGGTCAAACTAAAACCTACTTTTCATAGAGCAGGGGCTAAACATGTTCCCAAAGTGTGGTCCTTTCCCTGGTTCTTACCATGTGTCCTAATTTGCGAATGGAACTTAACAAAGGAGAACGAGCTTAGAAGGACTGAATGTGAACACCCAAAGAGAGCACCAAGTTCATACTCTGAACTTTGCCTGTGACTAAAGCAGAACAAGAGGGTTTTGTCGCTTCCTCTGGAGTGGATGGGGACTGCTCTCATGTACGCTGACTCACCGCACTGGGACCTGCGCTCGCAAGACACCTTTCATTCACCTATCAGGAGAATCAGCACGCCGTGGCACTATCAGCCATAGCCTTTTCAGCAGGGAAGATGGCGGCGCTGCAATCAAAGCGAATGAGTCCTGAGGCAGTGAACGAGAGAACAATGTATTATTAATGGTGCTCGCTTACACAGAGGCGAGACTTTAGCACCACATAGCCTCTGCTGATTGACACCAGTGACCCCAAAAAAAGTTTTTTCTTTCATGTAATCCCGTAATGTTCCATCAAAGTAAGCACGCTCATCAAATTACATCTACTATCTGGCAATTGGCAAAAGATGCTCCCTCTCAAAATGAAAAAAAGCCACAGCCAAATTCTCTAGTATTCTGATGGCAAATGGCAAACAAACTGAATTAGAATCCGATTTCAAATCTTGTAATCTGAAATACCATAATCAGTATAGAAAAGTAGTATATAAAAGTAGCAGCAATAGGCTCCTGAATGCACTTTCTATACAACAACCTGGCTTCCTACACAAATGTTGCTACATTTTCATACATCTTAAAAAAAAAAAAAAAAAATTCTATTATGGATTGTACTAATTCTGTACTAATCTCTTTTAATCAGTTTTGCCACTCCACTTTTTGTCTGTCGTAAAAACTGTCACTAAAGGTAAACGATTAGGTTGAATTCTTAAGCAATTCTCTTGTTATATGATGCATTTGAGGACATGGCTTTTACATTTTTAATGTTTTATTTCTGCATGAACAGATGCGTCATTATACAAATGTTCATTACTATTATTTCACATTTACACTCAGAGAGACATTATGCCCTCCCTCCACATTTACCGCAGGTTCACCAAAAGAACGTGTTTGCAAACTCCCAGTGTATCCCAGTTGATCGAGTGATGGTGTGACCCAGGAGTCTATGGGGAGCGCCTTGTGTGGTGGCGCGGGCACAAAGGGACAGGGGGCTCTTGTCGAACACTGGCTCTGCTGTCACTTTGATGAAGGACAGATCGGCGCAGGGCTGATGCGAGTGCTTTATCACAGTGATGTATGGAGCGGCAGGACGGGCGCGTGCAACACCTCTCTTTGGCTAAATGTTTTCTCTGTGTTTTGTGTTTGTATGTGGAGCTGGAGCGACATCACACAACAGGTGGTTTGTATTATTCTCTGAAATTCCATTGAAGGAGAATCACTGGCCAAGGCAAAGTGGTTTATTCACATTCTTGCAGATTTGAATGTGCAACAAAGATGGTGGATTGAAATTGTTTAATTGAGGAAGACGTATAAAACGTAAGGCTATATATATTTCCAATATGAATACAATTATTTAAGTTATCAGCTTAGTTCTTATTTGGAAATGGTTTAATAATTTGCACTGCTATAGTCACTTTCTAATTGTATAAACTTACCTTTAACTTTATTTACCATGCGCATTTCTTGTTGTTTGCACAACCTGAGTGGTCCTATACTGTATATAATTTGACATGTACATTTCTACATTGCGAGAGTTTTATGTTATCTTATCTTGGTATAGTTTAATAACGATCTGATATCACCCAGTTATAAACAGTCCGGGATCACTATACCAAGTCGATCATAACTCTAAACTCTTCCTTTTTGTTAAGCGTAAACCTAACCCTAGTCCTGACCTTAACCATAGTGAACCCTAGCCCCAGCCCTAGTCCTAACCTGAATGTGTTTCATTGGATTAAGGTTAGTTCTCTAACTCTAATCCAATGAAACATTGATCCTGGACAAACAACACAACAACAACAACAACAACAACAGTGACCCTGACTGTTGAATACTTGATGATATTAGATCGTGCTTTGTACTGTTTAGACCTAGCTATAGGAAAATGAAATATTATTACCCTGAATTAAGAGATTTCTAAGGCACCAAGGCATTAACCGAATGTCTCTGTTTTCACTGGACAGTAAACATAAATTGTTCATTCTGGTTTGTGGCTAGTAGACAATAACAAGCAAGTAACATTATCTTATTGTGACCATATCGCATGGTTTTGCAGTTTTGCAGCCTGAGGCAAGAGAGCAACAGTACCTCAGCTCTGATAACATCACTACAGTCTGCAATAAGTATTTTTTCCCAGTGACACAGAATAAATAAAAACGTCTTCACAAACGGCTGTGTCCTGTCAGAGTTCGGCCCTTGTGTCCCTCTGGGCTGGGTGTGGTGTCTGCTCCCCAGGGTGGGAGTTCAATAAGGTAACAGGATCAGACTCATTGTCTGCTGGCCAACACAAGGATTATTCAAACAACCTTCCCATACCTTCACGCAACAATGAGAGGACAGAGTGAATAAGTTGTTTAGAAAAATCTCCTCTTACAGTGAAAAACATGTCCATCTGCTCTGTGTGTCTTCATCTACATCAAGCCAATGAGGCGGGCCATCTCCTGCTCTAGCATATGTGTCTACAGCAGAGGACGAGTCACAAAATAAAGACAATGCTTTATGCCAGTGCAAAGTAACTGATGGAAGCACGCAGCACTTAAGGAAACAGCCACTGTCTTCCTCTGTGTTTTACCTCTAAATGGATTTTGGCTAATAAAGCAGCACAATAAAAAGTCCTTTCAGACTGTGTTAGTGTGATGCACAATCCAGCAGAGCCTCGCTGGTAAACAGAGGGAGAAAATGTTGTGTTAGTTGATGCGGCCAATTAATTATATTGCAAGTCATTTAAAAATCTATAAAAGAAGTATAAACCAGTTTAGGCTGTTTGAGAAATTGTAAGTATGGTATTAAAAAATGCAATACGTGTATTTCAATTGCCTGAGGCAATGTTATATTGGAGTCTCTTTTTTTGAAAGAAGCTGTGTCTTGAAAAGGAGTAAAGCGTAAATTATGCATATCATTTCCCCCTCTTTTCCATTCCTCTCCTTCATTTTTCTCAGGAAAACATGGCCGCAGTCCATGTGCGCTTTGTCCTGCCTGTAGGGCTCTGCTCTATGGAGCGGTGTCTTGAGAAGGATGGTGAGGAGGGGGTGGAGGTGTCAGAGTCCACATTAGGCCTGAGAGAGAGTGTACTCCGGGGCCAGGCTTGTCTCGGGCCGAGCCGCATGTGGCTGTGGGCACTGTCTTACGCCGCGCCTGTAGTGTGAGCTTGTTATGTTTCCACTTCTCCCTTTCACACATCTCTCTGACTTTACATCTCATTTGACTGTGGTGTTGCTGTATAGTGAATCTATCGCCACAAACTGTAAAAGGGAGGGAAAACACTCCACTCTGATATTCATGGCATGGTTCTATTTTGAATAGGAGTTTGCTGAATTATGATATAAAATGTCAAAACAGTATTCAGTGTTGAGAAATACCAACTCTCAGAAGTTCAAACAGAGAGCTTAAGGGGCTTTGCACTGTAAATGAAAAATACTATAATCTGAAGCACCATCTTCCCTGACACGAGAAACACACTGTCAGATGTAAAATCAGATGGTAAATCACAGTCATGGAGTGATGCCCTGAGACTGTGGAGGAGTGTGGCCGTACCTGCACAGAGTTCAGCCTACAGTAGCCGTTCAGGGGGAAGCGGATGACATGTGTGGGGTCCTGGTTCCAGCCAGCGTTCACAGAGTTACACATGACATCACCGGTCTCAGGGAAGATTTCCTCGATGAGGACCTTCTCTCCACTCAGAGCAATCCTCTCTCCCAGGTCCGGTGTGACCCGCACCACCAGGCAGTCGCAGGGCTGGGCCATGCGCCGCTGCTCGCGATCCTGCTTCCAGCGCTCCAGCTCCTTGATCATAGGGGTGAGCTGGTAGTAACGTGCTTCTTCGTACAGCAGGTTGAAGTCCTGCAGACAGCCACACACAGGGTTACAACAGTGCTTTATCCTCCGTGGCTTTAGATTGACAGCACTATGCACATTTATGATGATACTAATGGATTGCCTGCAGTGACTAATAAAAAACTATCCTTGAGCAAGGATAGCACAGAACCTCTAATTACTGCAAGGCTGCAGTGCCCTTTGCCCTTTTCAGACACCAGCATGGTGGTACATGAACATGCTCTGACGCGCAGAGAGATAGAAGACTTACAAGTCTAATATTTGTCTGTATTTGGTTTTTGACTGAAAAATCATGTTCTTCAATCGTCAGGACCAAACAAAAACAAAGCATCTCTATTCTGCTCTATTGTTATCGGTTCAAAAGCAAATGGCAGCACGGTGTTAGCCTTCAGCAGTCTCAGGCTCCAAACGGCCCTCAGTGTAGCTCTAGTCAAGTGGGCTGGTGCATTCCTGTATGCAGTATGCAGCAGATTTTCAGCCTCTCCCTCCAGGACAAGGGTTGCTCAGGGCAATTTGCCCCTGTGCTCTTGCCTCTAATTTCCCACTAGACCAGATGGCACAATCATTCATAGCTACAATTGTAAAAAAAAAATAGGAAAAAATTATAAATTGTACAAAGAGATGTACAAGTGAACATGAGGACAAGAGTTTAATGTATGCGATGCGTGACATGAATTATATGCTAAAGAGGACTGGCTTCCCATGTTAATCTACTACTAGAACAAGATTTAATTATTTCAGGAGGACTAAACTATGAAAATATTGTTGGGATTAACAATTAGCAATTAATAAACCCATGCTCTGGTAAGTAGCACAAGCTGAGACAGCTCCATCCAGACTAATTAGTAAAAACACAAATATCATTTACATTTTTTGTGACATAGAATTGAGGAACATATTGACGCATTTCGAGCAGAGAAAATGCCCTTGAAAACCTAATTGCTGCTGTAGTGTGTTTGACAACATACATTTGCTTTATACAAATTCTCCAGGGAGCCCTAGGACTTACTGGGCCTCTGTCGAGAATGGACCAGCAAACAGCATCATTAACCCTGCTGCTTCTGTCACACTCTTCAGCCTTGAGACGTCTTCCTCGCCGCCATACCCTTCATCTGAATGACACCGCCTATAACTTTACATACGGTTTGAATGTTGACGCAACACATCATAAGCCGATGGTCTAATATTTAAGCAAAGTGAGCCGTTCTCTTTCTTTCCTGTGGTTTTCTTACACCAGCTGACACTGAGCGAGAGACAAGGCGCTTGGGGCATCTCTCGGTATCAAAGTGCTGCTCCTCATCCTTTGCAGGTCTGGAGCCGTGCTTGTGGATGGATATGTTTTTAATGGGGGCCACTTTAGTAATTCTGGGCACAACACCGGACTACGCTTAACAGCGCTAAGGTGATGATGAGAGAGACAGGGCTTGCTTCTCGGCCCAGTTCTCGGCGCTACTGCTGTTCGCTTTACCCGTCCAATCCTATGTCCAGACAGTTCTGTTTGAGCTTCAGAATAATGATCCGACCTGAGAGCCCATCGGCAAGGCAACGTCTCAGGGAAGGACAGACCGGGGCCCGCACATACGCTGAGCCAGACAGCCGAGATGAAGAGCAAGTAAGTGATGAGATCTGTCACTAACAACTCGGCAAAAGTCCACCCAGTGTTCCAACGAAATCTCTACTCTCCGACAGGTTAAGTGGGATATGCACTGTTTGAGTTTGTCTTTGACCAGAACTAAAGACTAAGCATTAAAATGGGTTCAACACAAATTATTGGTGATACAAAATATATACAAGTACTTTTTGTACATGTATATATTTAGGTCAAATTGATGACTGGAGTGTACTAAACATGGTCTTTAACAAATGCTGGAATACATTAATATTACAATACCCTTAATTATAACAATAGTTTAACTTATAGAATCATACTTTAATCCTGTTTTTTATTTTATGCCATGCCCAGGAAGGAAGTTACTACACAACTTGACATTAACTTGTTGATTAGTAACATTCTGGAAAACTACTAAATGTATTTATCCAGAACAATCTAAATTTAACATGGAATCCTAGCCCCTGAGAGAGGGGAGCTGTTGTACATGTTTTAGAGGTAGGGCAAACTGGAGCACCCAGAGGAAACCTATGCAAACACGGAGAGAACATGCAAACTTCACTCAAGACCTTTTTGCTGAGAAGTGAGCCATCGTAATTTATGATATAGACTACTGTGTAAGGATGATTATGGCTTACAGACAATTTTCAAAATAGTCAAAAATTCAACTGTGAGTGAATTATCAACATGACAACAAATACAAGCTTGTAATAAGTCTGTCTTGTTTTCGTTTCACATAGTAAGTTGAACTACAGAAGTAAATGGATTCTTGAACGATATTCTAATTTTCTGAGTTTGACCTGTTTGTAGCTGATGGCACATAATTGCAGCCTTGCTTCTGTCAGTCTACCCCAGGGCAGCTATGGCTATAGTGTGTTATACCACCATTGTGTATTTTAATGTAGAGATGTTTAAGGGCTGTATGCATCTTACACAATAACATAGAAGTAGAAATGCATGATAAACATAACCTGCGATATCAGAATGACCACAGAATGATATTGGAAAGTTCATTTTTTCATCAATCTGCCTATTACCCACCCAGCACAAGCACTAAATACCTGCAAAAACAAACATTATTGATTCGAGCCTGAATAAACCCACGCTGATGCCGCTAACTCTTTCTACGCTCCGTAACCGTACCCTCAATACGACTGAGCAATGCTTACAGTCGTGTGATTAATTGTACTTTGAATAATGAGACGAGGAAGGTTATTACTGGTGAATATTTTGTTCCACTCATGTAGGCTGAGCACAGTTTTTGCATTTTCTATTCTGCTCAGACGTTCACATTGATTTAGCAAAACACACAGCATCGTGGCAGCCAGCAGCACAACACAGCCAGCCCCGGGGCGACGGCAGCCCTGATTGTGTTCCAGATAAGGACATGCACTGTTCACTATTTGCATTTTCCTTCTTTTTGCCTCTGCACGCATCGTAAGGTACGCATAACAACGCACACGCACGTACAGTACAAGCCACGGTAACCACACTGCTGCCTTTATTCACAAGGGGCCGCGCCTGATTGGAATGTCAGGACGTAGCGTGGATGCAAAAATATGAAAAGTAATGGTTAGTAATTCGCAGTATCATTAGCCAAATGCGCCGCGCTTTCAATTGTCGTAGAAGGTTTGGATTCGGTTCAAAGCGGGGGTAGCCTGGGGAGCTGGCCGCTGGACAACATGTCATGAATAAATGAAAGATGCAAAAATGACATTGCTGTAAAGAAATGAGCACGCTGCTCAGTAGTGCAAAAACGAGGAGAGAGAAAATAAAAGGTTTCTACAATTAGAGTACATTAGTAGCATTGATTTGACATAAAAGTAGCTGAAGAGGTGAAATTCTTGCCAATCAGGTACAAGGGTGGCAAACCCATTTTGGTTGTGGGCAGAATTTAAAAGTATAAACGTGGTTTTGTTGGATAAAAGTTTAATATGTTCTATGTATTTTTTACATTACCATTGTATTTTGACTTTTATTCAAACATGAGGCTGGGTGTCATGAGTTTTATATCAACTCTGAACATTGTAAAGCACTTTGGGTGTCTTTAAAATGCGCTATATAAATAACCATTACTTACTCACAATATTAGTTCAGTTACTGTTGGTTTTGACTGAACCAAAACTGAACCAAAGGTGAAGGAGTTATAATGGTAGACTGTCAGGCCCATCATGTATTTGTTTTATCTAACTTTTTTTTAAGTAAGTATTGTTTTGTTTTTTTAATCTTACTATCAAAGCTGCAAGTTAATCATAATAATTGAAATTTCAGGGGCCACTTGCGTCCCTTGGGTCTGACACATATGAGCTAAAGCATCAGAAAAGTCCAAAGGGTTGCACAGAGATAAAATGCCACCGCAATTTGCACGCTGGACCTAAACTCTTGTGTGGTTTTAATTATTTATTTATGTCTGAACACAAGCTCATTTGTAACAGTTCACCCTCGCACTCATTCATTCATGATGTGAGCCTGCAGCGCTCTATTTCTGATAGAAAAAAAAGTCACTGCTCAATACCTGGCATTAATACTTAACAGCTGCTGGCATAGAAACGGACCATTTTTAATTTGTGAGGCGCAATTGAATGCTGGGCTGAGTTTTAGACATCAAGGTGTGTTTTTGTGTCATTCATCATCACAAATAATAAGTGAAAAAGGGATTGAATTAGGTAACATGTGTCTTGATTTTGATTATACTTTGCCAATGGATCAAGCTGCTGTATTAAATGAGTTTTCTTATTATTTTTCTTCATAAATCCTGTTTTAAGACGGTTAAGTGTACTTCAGGATATCGCTCTTGTTTAGTGGAAGTAAAGGCCTTTGTTTTTCTTAACCTACAAGTAAACTGAATTATATGGACATAGTGGAACAAAGAAGATCACTTCGGTCTAATGCAGGGGAGTCCAAATATTATAGTAAGAGTAACCCTCTTGCTGAAATGTTTAGTTCACCAGACTTGTCCGGGAGTCGACAGTCCGTAATCTAAACTTGTTGGACTGGATTTGGAACGTTCAGAGCTTTAAAATGAGATATGTCATTCATGTCTATACTGATACTGATGGAGCTGAAGTTGGCTGAATTACAAATGTTTACTTTCTTTCCAGTGGCATTACATGTCAACATTAATATTTATCAGCACTCATAGACATTGGTCATCTGACCCTTCTGGACCAATACTAATGTGTTTGAACTGTTTGATTCTCTAATCTGTGTTGGCAAATTCAACGGTTGTGTAAAGTCCAAGAAAACTAATGTTGTGATTTAGGGCTTTACAAGAAGGAATTGAATTGAATGTTGCGCCACGTTCCAAAAAAATGTCACTTTAGTTGAACAAAGTCGTTTTTGAGAGGCTCTGAGCTTTACAGTAAGGTGTAGCATGTGTATATTGTCGGAGCTGAAGTTGGCTGCTTGATACTATTAATTTGCCATTGTAATCTCAATTGCTACTTTGAGAGGGCCACATAATTTGACACAGGGGGCAAGAATATTGCCATAGCTGGTCTTAATGTATCACTAGAATTCCAGTCCTTAAGTATTTTACAGGACTCGTTTAAAAGACTTTTGGTGAAAACATCGGAAACATTGGAAGTTGGAGTGAAAGTTCTGTCTGATAAAAGTGAAATCCTAAATCACACAGAAGCTAAAAGCTATAGTCTGAATGCTAATCAATAGTGCAGGATTCATCACACTCACATTGGCTGGGCTCCATTATAATTACTGTACTTACTGGTCCATAATGTCAGTGTGGGCCCAATTAAAACTTGTATATGCGATTAACCTGTGTGAGCGGAAGAAAGTGAGGCGCCAATCTGGAAAGTATCATTAATATAAATATTTGTAAAGAAAATACTAGTGGCAAATATTCTGGATAAACAATGAGATTAACAATTTCTGTTTTTATAGCGGGATTATGTTTGAAGTTCACACTGAAAGTTCATATTTGTGGGATCATAACATGCACAACTTGAGAATTTACTGCAAATTCATTTTTTAATATCAAACATTTTACTGAAATAATACAGATTTTTTGTTTCACTGACAAACCTTATTTCCAAACAAAAGCGGTGCATCTTTCAGTAATGTACAGTATATTCTAGTAAGATCATACAAAATGTTTATTTTTTCATATTTCCCAACACATTTTTATGGAATGAGACAAGATTGTGCTGAGCTAATAAAAAGTATTCTGCAGTGTTGGGAAGAATACTGGTTTTAACAAATGTACTTTCTCTTGGAATCCTTTACCTGCTACATTATATTATAGTTTAATAATGCCTCGATAATGTTTTCTCATTGTTGATTTGAACAGGATTTTTCACTCAAAATCCCTAAAAGAGACATTGTCATTGTTTTTGTGTGTAATATCAACACATTGCACTATATATCTTCATTTTCTGAAAAGTAACATGTAGTCTGAATGCCACCAGAGGAAAAAGTTCCAAAACAGAAATGTGAACACGTAATACTGCTACATGTCATATTTCTGCTAATGTCATGTTTCCATTTCATATTTGGTTATGAAATATTCTCTTTTAAGTGGTTATGGTGCGAACAGTGCGGGGAGCTGTGGGCGTGGGGCTCGTACCTTGAAGTCTTCTGGAAGGAGCAGTTTGCAAGTCCTGAGGAAACTGAGAATGTAGCGAAATATCTCCCCATCCCGGTCTATGAAGTAATGCTGCTTCAAACTGTCCAACACGATGGGCTCAGTGCCATTGAACAGACGACTGATTCTGCAAATTGAAACACACACACACACACACACACACACACAGACACACACGCACACACACACACACACACAGACACACACGCACAGACAGAAAAGAATGAGCAACTCCCTTCGAATGCATGAAACAATTACCCTCCATTTATTTTTCAATTTTATTAGCAGCGAGCTCAAAACGCATTAGCATCCCAGGTTGAAACAAGGGGCTTAAGGCGCACTCGCTCCATTTCAGACTTGTTTGAAGTGTCCCTTCTGCACAGATTATAACAACACACACGCCCGCTGCCTGTACTTACAAAAAATTAATAGCATCAATGTGGCATTACAGCTCTATTATTCCAGCTGTCAGAGGGAAAGTGGAAGAGGTACGGACCGGTGGAGGACAGCAAAGCACACATGCGCACTAATGTTTACTGTGATCAGAGCAACTGCTTTAAGAACACACAGAGCCATGAACTTTTAGATATCAGGGCCCTTTGTATTCGTAGGTACTGTAGGGCCAATCTTCTTCTTCTGTTTTCCTCCTTTTTGAATGTGTTTTTATGTATGTCTTTCTGGTATGGACCTTTTGCACTTGTGTACGAAATAAAGTATTGAATTGAATTGAATTATAAAATCTAGAATAAGCAGTTTGGACCAAAATACACTATTTTATGGCAAGGATTAAAAGTGTTGGTTAAGTTCAAGACATCATCATTGAAAGCCATATTTTTTTCTGCCTATAAGAAATAAAATAGAATCTAGAATTGTGAGCAACACAATGAGATTATTTATCCATGTGTTATTTTTGGGGACACACCGATTTATAACATTAACAAGTACTAACTTGTCTGGATCAGTAAAATGAAGATGTAAAAAAACACAAAATATATTGATCTCTCTAAAGGAGGTTATGTTACCATTAGGTTTTGTTAGTTAGTTATAACTCAAAAGATAAAGGGTGGATTATAATGGAATCTTCAGCAAATCTCAGCAACAAATGATTAGATTAGAAGTGATCCGGATCACCTTCTGAGTCCAGGTATTTTTGTAACTTAGCCTCTTGGTGGAAGTCTGTGCTCTACGCATGCATTTCTTTTTTTAATACCAGCCATTCATATATTTAAGTATTGCTGAAAGTGAATGTCATCTGCATAAACCCAGATTCGGACCCTTTTTTGACACATGAAAGAGGTCCGGGTTCCACATCAGCAGTAGACCCTGGTTCTTCAGACGCAGAAATACATACACCATTATTTGTGTGTAGAATGTGAAATTTCATTAACTAAATAAATGCAACAAGCGTAGATCCTTTACGATGACAGTTATCCAGGCTGTATTCAATTATATTTTGTATAGCCCTAAATCACAACAGTAGTAATCTCGAGAACTTGACAAAGTGGTTGATTTTTCCAACACAGAGAATCAAACAGTTCAAACATACAAACACATCTGAGTCATTGGGGGTTTATGACCAATGTCCACAAATGTTAATACATGTCTCTTGGATCATGACCACTGTCCTTAGACTCACCTGTAGAGACAAGGAACAAGTCTAAAACTCGGTGGGAAAAAAGAGAAACCTCGAGCAGGTTGTTTCAGAGTACCTCCACAAAATACTAACAAAACAGCTCTCAAAAATGTTCCACAAGTTTGAAGTGAGGCCAACATCTAAATTGCACTAAATTTGTGTTCAACTTGCAAAACAAACCTCCTTCTGAAGAGAATAATGATGAATAATAATGATTTCTCACATATGTCGCATGCAACCTCGGCCCGTTTCCATGTCTTTTGAGAAACTGCTCTTGGCACGTTGCTTCTATTATCGTCATTTTGATGTAATCGTGTCTTTAATCTCACAACTGCCTCTATCAGCTGACAAAGCGACGTGGCAAAGGATATTATAAAACTAATTTGTTACCACACTTGACAGACTGTGGAGGAGAGCTTTCTTTGTCTTGCATTGATTTTTGTGGTTTTGTAATCCTCGAGTCCCACCACAAGACAGCAGTTTATTATATTACACAATAAAGATATGGAGAGTCACTACGAATGCGACTTTGGAGCGGACGGCATAAACCGCACAATAAAGCCACAGCTCTTTCCCATTCTCCTCCGTTCTTTTACTTTCCGTCTCCATCCTTCTTCTTCTGCCTTACTCTCTGGAAATCGATGCAAAATGCTTTATAAAAAACCAATACTCATCTCCCTGTTTGGCCCGAGGTGTTCCTTTCTCATATGGTCTTGCAATTCTTCCAGCTAGAATTTCACCATACCCCTGCAGGCTACCTCTGTTTTTCATCTCCACTTTTTTAAAAAGCAATTAAAATGCTGCCTGTTTTTCTTTTCTCTCTCTCCTTTGCGCTCTTTGCTCTCACTTTCACTCTCTGTGTTGGTCTGCTTATTTTTGCCTCTCGTCTCAGCCTTCAATGTAAGAGATGAGGAGTTCAAACAGGTTGGTGCTCACCTACTGGTCACGTGGTGGAATCTTCTTTCCTTTTGACATAGAATCATTATCTGTCTGGAGTTGCTTTTTTTTGTGATAATTCAGGTATAACAATAAAAAAGACCAGGTATCGTTGCTCCTAATCTACATCTGATCCATGCATGAGACATCTGGGGGTGAACAATGAAGTTTCTTTTATTAATACGGCTAATTTACTGTATATTACAATTTACAACTCTGTGAATCACATTTCTGCACTTTTCTCAGAATAGAAAAAAGGCAATAATCTGAGATAGCATTGAAGTTTCTAGGTACAATAATAGTTTAGGCTTACCGGTATTGTATTTTAAATATGAATACTACTTTTCCATAAGTGTATAGTATAGAAGGTGCTGCCTTAATGTGTGCTTTAAGTGACGACTTGACACCAGCAGCGGGTCGCCTTTGCATTATGAAGACATTGGAACGACATGAGAGGAAGAACTATGTAACAAAGATTGAACAAACACTTTCCCCCCAATTTGGTCATTACATTTGCTCATCACATGACAATAACTCACTGCATTTGTACATAAGATAATAAATACTACATGCAGCGTTTGTAACTAATCCGTCTGAAAATGGCAGTCACGGTTTCTTTTTTATTCCAGTCAGTGCAACTTGATCTTCAATGTGTGTTTTCCTGTTAACATACTTGATTTTGGAGCTTCTAGACTTGTCTCTTTGACTTGTTTTCCTTCTCCCATCGGCTCATTAGATCTTACTGCCACATGTGCAGCTGTGCAGTGATGTGGCCTGTCTATGCACCAGTAAGAATATATAAATATGCTGCAAAAAGTGGAAAAGCAGAGTGGAGAAGGCGGGAGGAGGTGGGAGTGGGAGGTTATCAAGGACAGAAACAGCTCAGATCTGCCACCCTAGCTGCACACGGGGAGACCAGGCAGGCGGGTGGGCAGTGGGTGGGCACTATCCGGCAGAATGCAACCGCCGCAGGACAAGAGCTGAGGGAGGTGGGAGTACCCAGGTATCACTTAAGCACAAGCTCTCTGCAAAAGGGAGCGACTAATGGACATTGAAGGCAAAAATGTACTTGCAGAAATGTCACAGATGTTTATAAGATGTTGTAACGTTGTAAAATATTTGAAAATGCAGTAACTATTCTTTGATATTAAACTTTATTTCTTGTGTAGAAATGTACAGGCGACTTTACCAAATATTTACAGCCTGTTCATACACAGTTTGGTGTCCATCCACTTTTATCCATGGATTTTAGAATGCTTTGAATATTTATCAATATGGTAACAGCCCTCATTTCTTACCATTCTGAAACTAATGCGTACACATATAAAATATAATATTAACTATCTAATTACACACATACCTTTGGCTATAAAATTGCATTATTTTTAGGTTCAGGGCAGTGTATTGTTTTGCTGTACAACACATGTCGAACAGATTGAAGCCATTTTGTTTTGTAGTTAAATGTAACTTAATTTTTGCCGGCTCTTTTATCAGTTTGAAGTTGATTTAATAACATACTTTCACAGAGAGACTTTTTTAATCTCAATGATCAACAACAAAATGGAGAGGCACTGAAGAGGACTGGTTTGTCTTTCTCCTCAACTCACTGATTTGGAGAAAGAACTACAGTAAACCAGGCACAGACCACATTTAATTGTCCTTTCACCATGTTTGTCTAAAAAAAATCCACTTTTGTTTTCTTTTACCTATAAGCGTTTGCTCTTACCTAAATGAAAAACACAAATCAGAATTAAAAATAATGACAGAGATTGGTCAATATGAGGAAAAAAGACCAAAAGTGATATTTTACCCTTCATCCTTGCTATACTGTTAAGTTGCGTAAACGAAAATAGAAAACAATAAATGTGAGTGCTCAAAGATCCACCCATTCAGAATATCGCAACCATTTCACTGAAATCTGAAGCAGTTCATTGCTTCGTGTGAATCTCCTCAGAACTGCATCAAACTTTCATAACCCCTGTCCCTTAATTTGGCCCGTATAGAAGAAGATGAACAACCAGACATTAGTTACTAGACTAACTTTCTCTTGGCACGCTGCATAATTTAGCACCAATCTATTAAAAGTAATCCGCAACTTGAACGTCTTTAACCCTGCTCTGGTATTCTGGCCATCTCTCTTGGGCCTGCACTCACGACTGGACAGGGCCATATGTGGGGTATATGTGCGCCTTTGCCACTGCCATTGTTTTGCTTTCTGCTGTCAGCCATTATCCTAATTCACACAAAAGAGCCCCTCCTTTCTGCACAAGCTCCAGCGGAAAGTGAAGCCCCGGGGCCAAATGTACACTGAGCAGGCTGGGAGAGAGGGGAGAGAGTGGGAGAGAGTGGGAGAGGACGCGGAGCAGAGAAAAAGGAACATTCACACTAGTCCACAACTCCCCCCATTGCTTGACATTGAGGAGCTCGTCAGATATGGACTCTATTTCCATCATTTATAATAATTACTGGACTAAAATTCACCAAACAATATTAAACAAACGGCCAGTGGTGCAGATGATAAGTAAATGTGTGTTTGCATATATATAGCTATTAATTATACAAACTATACAAGCCCCAGTTAATACATTTTCCCTCCATGTGTTTTACTTCTTCCCACACCCTTTCGATCTCTAAATAAAGTTGGATATACATTTTGTGAACATATCTGCACATGGTGAATGCTTATAAATATGGCTTATGTTTTTATATGATTATCTGTGCATGTGTATCGTGATTGTATGAATGAAACTATTTCTGTAGTCTAATATCATACAGCAGTGAATTCTTGTGCCCCCACAACCACAGTATTACAAATCAATAATCCAATTATAGCCTTTGTCTGTGCTGCTCACTGCGGTTAAATGGTCCTAAAAAGCTAGTTGCTAAAATATGAAATGGTGCTACAATTCTCACTTTGAAATGTCGCTTTTTTGCCACCAATTTCTGTATAGAACTGCATTGGAAACTGTGTAAAAAGTCCACTTCTTTATTTTTATAACATTGTACAAAACGAAAAGAACGTCTGTAAATCTGTTCAAACATTGGACAAATTCCCCGCACTTTTAGTCCTTATGTTATGGCGTCTGATTGAGCTACAATACAGAGGTTTCAGGCTTAAATGCATCTTAATAAATAAAACAAAGATAAATCCTTTCTTCTCTTGACGTCTCACAGACAAGAATAAAAGGGAGAGTTTGGAGGGATTTCCTGTCAGCGGACTGAGAGAATATCAAGACTTTATTACCAGGGGATTAGGGGATTGTTTCCTGTAGCCAATTTGGCAGAATTTCTAACAACCTGCTGTATGTTTACCTTGTCCCACATGGGAACCTGTCAGCTGATGCGCACTCTGAGGCGGGATGCAGGGCTGAGTGACAGGCCGTGTGCGAGTAACTGATGTGTTATTATGGGGGAGACTCAGGAAGAGGGATTAGAACTTATTCTTAAGTAATTGTTGCATGTAGCGGCACAAAAGACATGAGAGTGGATTAGCATGTCTTTGGAGTTAAGCAAGTAGAATTGTATAGGCCTATAGTTGTGTTATGCTTACGGCTATTTATTATAATTATGCAAGTGATTTAACGATCTAACACTAATCCAATTCATTTTAAACGGATAGAACTTGGAAAGATGTTCAATTGGAAATGTAAAAGAGGCAAATCCACAAGGCTTCACACACAGAAGCTCACTCCCTGACTTTTTTGAAAGCCGTATAAAATAAAATAGATGAATGTGCTGACAAGATTTTTGTTTCATTAGTAGCAATCATCTCTTATTGCTTATCTCTAACAGCAATCACAAAAATATAGTTTACTGTGATGTTGCGTAAAAAAAAAAAAGATCACTTATTTACTTACTTGTTTTTAAAAGGACATGCACCAAATGAGATGCCACCTAAGTTAAAACTTCAAACTGAACAGAGAGAAAAGGCAAAAATAGGTGTACCCAGCAGGACACTAATTTGAAGACAGTGTTAAAGTCACAAACACACTCATTTCACACATTAAGACAGACACAAGACAGTAATAATGGATGGATGAAAGTATTACCTGGAGTCAGGGTACTTGGTGAGGGTCGCCAGGCTGCTAGTGTACATGTGCCCTCCCACGTCTATGTGCACGGGAGCGTTCGCCTTGGTGAGCTGCGCGGGAAGAGGGATGCCCTGAGCGGCCAGAGGAGAGACCGGGGACCGGGTCAGCGACAGCCGAGACATGCTTCTGCCCTCCTGAAAGCAAGTGTAGAGAAAAGCCATGGGAACTCTGTCCACTCCGCACACACTGAGACTACACCGGGGAGCACCTGCGATCCTTTCTGAATACCATCATATCACTTCCATGACTGTCTGGTCGCATGTTTAGCCCGGAAATTATTGCCACCGCTCTAATTAAGTATGTTTGCATCTTTTCTTGCAGTACCGGAGGCGAGGATCGGAGAATGCTTATTATGAAGAGAGAGGGGGGGAGAGGGAGAGGTAGAGAGATAGAGAGAGAGAGAGAGAGAGAGAAAGAGGGGGGGAGGTTAGGTGCCAGCCTCCAGGGGAATAAAACAAACTGCTGCTGCAACATTCTAATTAAAGGTCGCCTTATGTGTTAGACGTGATGTGCCCAGACACACCAGGCACCAATGTGAAGCGACAAAACACCAGGGCAAAGGGTCCCTCACATCCAGGAGCCAACTTTCTCCAATGATTTTAGAGGGAAAATTAAACACAATCTGACATAGAAGTTTAAAACATTTAACCAGGTTTAATGGATAACTTCACAAAGGAGCCTTTAGCTTCGAAAAATACGAGAAAAAAAACTAATTATTGTTGGATTAGGCTGGTATCAGCGTACCTGCGTAATTCAGGTGTCAGAATTACGCACTCGCGAGGTCACCAGTGTTACTCTGTCTGAATTACAATGTAACTGTTTTACATGGAGTTTTATATTGATCTGTAACAATTGAAATGGTACATGTTATAAAATCCAAGCAGACAACACGGGCTATGGCTCGGGCGCGTAATCAAAAAGGGCAGCTGTTATTTGAGTGTGACTGAAGGCCAGATGTGGCCCCAGGGGCTCTGGGCTGGAGGTGCCTTTGGACTAAAACTGAGACTATTTTTCCACTGTGTTTGTCTCGGTAGAATGTCGGGTTAATGCGATTACAAGAGGACGAGTTTAAGCTCCATTGCAAATCCGCGGAAAGAGGAAACTTGGACAGACTTGACAAGTTTTGGGATCCCACGCACAATTGTGAAATACCTCTAATTCCACGTCACTTTCCCAACATCCTAAACGCGCAGACAGACATCGCAGACGCCTCTAGTGACACATTCCTCCACACTGCCCCAGTGGATGTGACTGTCCCAGAGCGACTGTAAAAGGCATTAACTTTCTCATATAGAAGCCACTTTCCCCTGACCCCATTCATTAAAGCGAGTCTCCCGTTTCATCTTCGAACACCCATCAAACAGACTAAATGTTTTGCCGGCACAAAACCAGCACAAGTCTACAAAGACCCGCGCATCCTGGACATAATTTAACCAAATATACTCAACATGGCGTCTGCTGTGAATTAAGATACAGCTCGAAACATGCATGCCTATGGGTTGACAGTGTGCAAGAGCTACATTCAAAGAAAATGATATGAAAAAAGCTCCAAAGTGCAATACATAAAGAACAATCCAAATGCTTTACAGCCCTACCGTTTCGAACATTGTAGGGGGTCTGCAATAAATCCGTGCCGGCAAACAGTCCCAGTCGATGTTTGCGCAGCGTGAAATAGTCTAGTATTGTCTCCAAATAGACTGGAGTTAGTGCGGACGAGCTCCTCTGAGATTGCTAAACGCCGTCTCGCGGAAAACCTCTGTCATGGGCGAAAGTATGTGACCGAGATGGACTGGCTACGAAGCGTCTCTGTGGCTTTAAATGGTTCAAATGCAAGGCTCCCTCGACCTGTCCTCAACAAACCTCTTTGTACCAAAGTGCACAGGAAGCGTCCTTACCTTATACATTGATGAGGCGATCTCCTTCCCCTTTTTACGCTCTTATTTGGATACGCGTAAAACGGTGCGATCCTGCTGGAAAGTGTCTCCGTATTTTTGCGTCTTATCTGCCTTTTTGTCCAAATGAAACTGCCCCTTCAGTTTGTTATGAGAAGAAGAAAGCCAATAATCCGTCTCTAAATAACAGAGCAGGGCTAAAAAAGAAGGTTCTTGCTCGGGGCTGCCCATGCGCCTCTGGGCCAGGGATTAGGCTACAATTAGCTCAACTCCACTCTATCGCCCGGAAAATGTTCTCAAGGAGCACGACGTGATACCCCCTACTCTTCAAACGACCCCCAGCTCACGTTTACCGATTCAAAATAACGTTTTCAACCAAAAAGTTGTTCACGCGTATGTCCTTAACGGCGTAACTTGTGGTTAGAGGGGATGTCCTAACAAGCAGCTGCCAGCCTGTGTCTGTGAGAGGATTTGGAACAGCAGAAACACATTTGAATCATTGTCATTTGGGCTGATGTAAGTCCCCAGGCAGTTCCATACACAAATGGAGAGGCATTAATTTGTATATCTTCAACCCAAATGTAAACTTTACGCAATGCCACATTTCAAGGGAAGGGAAAAAACTTGTTGATGAAGTGGAAAATATGTTGACAATAAAGAAATCCTTCACCCAAAATGTTTGACCCGGTGCTGCTCTCCGCTTCTTCTCTGCCTCATAATGTCTGGAGTTGCGAAGCCAAATTTCCTGCAGGGCATTAAAACCAAATGACGTCCAGGACTTGCACGCGCGCCGCCGCAGAAAGCGCCCTCACAACCTGCCCGCAGCCAAATGCGCCATTTCAATTATAGCGCGGGGCTTTAGATGGAGCTATCTCCCTGTAATATTCTTCTCACTTCACAGTCAGAACGGACAGCTCTCTCTCAAAGGAAAATACGTGGGATAACTGCTATTTTCTACACACCGAAAACCAACGCGTTTAGAACATTCTACAGAGACGCGCATGCATGCTTCTACGTGAGGCAGCTGAGCACAACCTTTTTGTTTGTGATGTGTTTGGTGGTGTGTGTGTGCAGGATACATAGTTGAACCCGGGGATGCGAGCATGACTCTGGAGGCAGATATAGCGGCAGAGCTTGTCTTGGTTTCTTGATATTTGGCGCCAACCAGTGTAGAAAGCTGTTACTGTTTGTCTTTTTCTTCCATTTACAAGTTTCTCCTTTCAATGTATTTTGTCATACTAAAGTATATAACCTAACACATCTACATCTAATAGATCTATTTGTAGTTACCTTTATGATTTCAAAGTTACATACAACATTGTGCGCGCACCTATAGACCTGTGTTGATCATTAAAAAGGCCGTTCTATATTATTTCTTTAAGGCACAACATTAAAGGAGCGACATTACCTGCTGTTCAAACCAGTGTGTTTGTGTGAATATATCAGCAGCAGTGAAACCAGAACGAAAACGCGTCTCCTTGAAGCGCGCCAAGTGTGCGTAATTAGCCAGCCCTCAGAAAGCTCCCTTCGTCCCTTCCGGCGCAGATTTGTTGTCTCCAGCCATGGGGTGGACTGGAGGGGAAACTGATTTTTTTTTTTCTCTCATTAAAGGAAACAAGCCTGCAGTTACTTCAATTACATGAAGTATGCAGGCATGTTGTAAATTTAAAGATTTAAATAGCTTACAAAGTGGCCCCGGGCACCATCAGTTAATTTCCTTAATTTATGGATTTTACAAGAGTGTCTATGTGAAAGGGGAAGTAGGTCATCTGGCAAAAATATGTTAAGTTTTTGGACGTAGTGATATAAACATTGGACTTTAGGCACCTGCTTCAGAGGTCAAAAGACAATGAGGAAAAGATGAATGACCTGGCAGTACCTGACCTTGAGCCTTTAGCTGCATACAACCTCAATATGTTAATGCTTGGGGTCAATTATACATTTTTTTATATCTATGAGTGTATATTTATGAGAATTTGAATGAGGCTCCATAAGCAGGTCTAATATAGAACTATAAACTTAGGGTTAGTGAAACATCCTTTGAATTAAGCTTTCATTTGATATGACTTATTTATACGGGGAAGACTATTCAAATTCATCAGATCCAGCTGTTTTGCAAATTCTGCAGCAAATTAGAGGAAGCTATATTAAAAGCATCCAAAACTTAAAGATACACTGTGTATTTTTTGCTCCCATCTTGCATTGGGATCATGTAATAATTTACGGTACTACGGAAGCCCTTGTGGGACAATGTGTGGTCTTTGACAGTGGTCCATAACTCCCGCTCAAACTCCTTTTTGTCCCTTATCAACCACTGTATTTCAAGATGGCGGATTGACATGTAGAGTCCTCCAGCCTCATGGACATTTATTAGTCAAATTCTAAGTCTATGAAAATAATTGACAAACATGGTGGAGGTAAATATTCTTAAAAAGTTCACATTTAATTTTGGTTAAAATGTTTTTTTCATTTGGAGAAACTGTACAAATTACACAGGGTGGCTTTGAGAGGAAAAATGCCTACGACAAATGTAAAAGTGCTCGGTGACTCTGAGAGGTGAAAGCCCCTAACCCTAACCCTTGGGCACTATATCATTAAAATACTACTTAAAGTAAATCTGAAAATTGTTATAATTAAGTTTGTGTTTTGCCACTGAAGAAACATTGGTTATGTGTAGTTTACTTCATGGTTTTTCCGTGCACCAATATACAGTATACAGTAGTTCACATATACCAGAGCATGGGAGAGAGAAAAAGTACATGCATGGTATAGTCACATTCACCCTTCTAAATTGAAGCTTTGTGAATATTTCTTTCAAGCATTCATATCAGATCAACACTCTTACAGCCCCTGGGCATGTGGAGAAAGTTTGCAAAGAACACGGAGAACTTGCTCTCAGTAATCTGCATGCCTGGCAGAGCCGGTGGCTGTCAATCGCTGGGTTCTTGCAGCCATTTGACATTCTACTTGATGTTGTGTGTGTGACTGAGGTGGCGCACTGACACTTATTGTTCATTATTTCAGGCAGTGAGAGAAGATGCAGCAGGAGAGATAGACCTTGCAGTGTATTAATAGAATGTGTACGGGTTGCAAACAATCACCTAACAAGGCAGCACAAACGTACAGGCTTGCTTAATAACTGAAATGTTCAAAAGTGGCATGCATGTGGTTTCTGTGAGAGCTACTGTCAGGAGCCACTGGAACTTTCAGTTGTGTTAAGCCAAAAACTCATGGGCAAGAGTCAAATAATGAACTCTATATAACACAAGTACTTTTTACTTAACTTAAACTTTCATTATAATGATTGGATATTTCTTGCATCACCTTGCATCACTCGACAAGGTACAGTTCCATTGTGCAGTGCTCCAAAAATAATTATCAGTTAGGGCTTTGTGGAGTAAGAAAGTAATGTTTCCTTTTGTTCTACCTCTACCACAACAACAACAACAACAACACTGAGAACCAAAGAGAGCCACCTAAAACCAAAAGATTGACCATAAATTGAATGGATAAGTACATTATTTGCATAATTGACTTGAAATATGTATCTTTTCTTGTCCGAGGGTCAGATAGAAATGACAACTTTTCTGCACTTCTGGAGGTGTCCATACATCTGACCATCGAGGCACTAATGGAACACCATTGGACACCAAGCACACAAAAAATTTGTTCAAAATGAAGTCCTTTAATCTGTCCATCTGACCATAATGCACTTTCTAACTCTAGATGATCAGAGCTATCCCTATTTTGAGTATTTCTCTTGGTCTAGCTCAGCTCTCATACTATTTGGTTGACTGTAAAAGAATGAACAGTGTGATGCCTGCATTTCACATCTGGTATGCATCATGTAGCAGTCCCTTGACTTGAAGGTGGCCTGGGGGGGAGTCCCTGGCATGGCACGGCATGGCACCCACAGCTCTCATTAGAATGCATGTGTCACTGTGGCATCAAGCAGCAGCCTTGACTTATGCTTTATATTTACAATCATCCATCAGTGTCATCAGTCCAGTCCAGGCCAGAACAGAACCGAGATCCACACTTTTGAAGCAGATTGTGAAGAGAATGGTGATGCTGCTGTGACTCGTCCTCCAGGGCCTGTTTCTGTCAGTGGCCATGTTGTTGGGTCTAGTAATAGTCCGAGAAAGAAACTTCATTCTCTGTTCTTTTGTTGTATGCTGCACACCCTAACAGCGGCGAGTTTTGATGTGTCTTCTGAAGGCGAGCTGCTTTGTCAACACCCAGGCCTGACACTATGGGAGCCGGAGCCCTAGGGTGGCAGGGAGGGGAGGGTGGGGTTATGCAGCAGCCTGGTTAAAGAGAAGAACCGACAGACACAGACAGGGGGATGGGGCCCGCTCAAGTGGCCAGTGCCCAGGGCGAGAGGAGAGTTCTGTGCAGCACACTGCCTGATGGCGACTGGAGCTGCTGGCTGATGACATTTTCTGGTCACAACATGCAATCCCCCAACTTATTTAGTGGGATGAGACTTTTGTGTGTTCACTGTTTGTTCGCAAAGAACAAGTTTTGGATGTGAGTCACATATAATAAGATCTAAAGAACTGTATCCAAGTTGTTCAATTGTATTCTTTACAGTATAAGGATGTGAACTTGAAATGACCTATAACTACCTGTAATTTAAACCATATTATTTTACTCAGATGTTTCATGTTGCAGTGTCCCTCACAGCTGTTTATTGACCTCACAAACACGTGATGTGAAGCGCTGCAATGTGGTGCAGCTGCCTGGCCACAGCCCTGGAGCCCACAGGCACAAGATAACTCCTGTCTGATTAGCTCCTAAGGAGGACATTGTTCCAAAAGCAATTCACTCCACTCCAGTATTAATTTAGTTCCCAGAGAGAGTCATCTATCGTGGACAGGACGGGCCCTGCTCTAAGCTTGGCCCCTGGTCTGGTGTGGCGTGGCCCCTCTTGGCCTGTCACCATAAGTGATAGTGTGGAGAAAGTGTAATCTGGCCGTGTTTGTCCCATCAGGAGTGTCTCTGAGCTCAGACCAGGGCAGGTGTCCCCTCTGTCATGTCCATTACTCATGCTGCTGGACACAGGAAGACAACATTCACAAAACTTGAGGTGGAGAAAGAAGGGATTCATCAAACCAAAACAAAACTAATGACATTTATGTTTTTAGTGATGTTTCAAGAGCAAGACATTCGCTAACATTAACAGATGAAAAAGTGTAATTCTTTTCATTTTAATTTTCTTCTGGTTCTGCGCTCTTTCAGATTTCAGATCTTTCAGATTTCAGATCTTTCAGATTTCAGATCTTTCAGATTTCAGATCTTTAAGATTTCAGATCTTTCAGATTTCAGATCTTTCAGATTTCAGATCTTTAAGATAGTTGGTAAGATTTCAACTACTACGAACAAAGGAACTAGTCCTTGCTTTCAAAATAGGTTTGTATCAATAGTTTTAACACACATGTATTTTGGCCTGTGTCACATTTTTTGACCAGCTCGTTTATCCAGAAAAGGGAAAAAGAGTGGACCACCCTCCACTGAGCTAATCCGCTCTTAGCCCAAAGCATCAAATACTGACTCACAAGGCACTTCCATACAATTTTGCATCACACGCACACGTACAAAGTTTAAATTCTAATCTGCAACAAAACGTCTGAGATATTTAGGATACTCTACTGCCATCATGTGGTCACAATTATGAAGTGACACTGAATGTGCAGTGTAGCCTGTTGATAGACCCTTCTCGATTATGATGCACATAACTGAAGGTAGCAAATATTATTCAATTATTCACACTAAAATACTAATAAATATTACCTTAACCCTAACAAATACAAATGTATTCCTATGGATATAATAATGGAGAAAAAGAAGTTGAAACATGAATAAAACATACCATTTTATTGATCATTATCAATACTATTTGTCATAATGACTACTAAAATAGTGTCTGAAATATACATTGGTTATGTTGTCATCTTACATTGCGAGTCTGATAAGACTCATCAGAGTTGGAACAGTCACGGAAGAAGTCAAGTAGGTCTATACACTCTCAGCCGCGTCCCTGAACAACCTTAGAAGTGACGGGTTATTATGACTATATGTCCTTTGGCCTACAGGCTGTAGACTTTTACTGATACAAATTAAATCATACACAAATACATATGCATTGCAACATTTTATTTTCATCAGATTTACCAGAAAATACATACGTACATATTTTGAACAAACACATTTTAAGTGATCAAGATTTTTGTGTGACTGCATAGACACGTACTGTACTTCACAACCTTGGACAGGCCCCTGCGCTTCAGACAGAAAACATCTACTGTCACACTGGTGTCACTGGGAACTTCTGTACAGAGGACAGACACACAATGAATTAAGTATACAACAACATTACTGTATGTGCTAATACTCACCAACACACTGTTGGAAGTATTTGCCCATTTTACAACGGCCCCTACACTCCTCACTGCTGCCCTCCTCATTCATACCTTTGTTGTATATTTTAATATTTGACCATTTGAACATCATAGCCAGAAAGACCTCCGTGCACTCAGGAAAAACCCCAAGGACACAGGATAATCAGACATGAGTCATAAAGATAAAATGCTGTTTAAACAGGGCGAATTATTAACTTTAAATAATAAATTCATTTTGACGAGGACAAGAGTTCAGATCTTTTGAGCCCAGCTGAAACCTGTCAGCGGCTGTGTAAAATGCCAGTTTATGGGAAAACATGGAGATTGAGACAAATTCATGCCCATAACAGTTGAAAAATGGGGCAAAGTCTCAGTTTACAGTGCTCTGAAGCCTAACACGGCTGTTTATCTCACAATGGAGATGTTTGGGTGTCTTCTCCGTCGCTCTGCTCCAGGCCCTTCAGCGCATTTAGCTACATATGCACGTTCTCTTCAGAGCACGTCAACATTTCTCACACTCGCTAATGAGGCAAACAGATAGCTTTTGTTTTTCCTCACAGTTACTGTTCTCATAGCGCTCATGACTTATATACAAGCTGCGGGAATGGGCCCCGCAGCGTTTAATCAAATCTTCAAATCATAGGCTGATCAGTTTGGGAATGCAATCTTCAGCTGCAACAATGGGATCATTCCAGTTAAAGGGCCAAATGAGACTCTACCGACAGCCAATTTTTTTCCAAATTTAGCAGTAAGAACATGATATGAGCAGGTTATTGGTTATTGGACTGCAAATATGAAACTAATCTATATGAAATAGGCTCATTACATGCTGAGTGACATATGCCAAGTCTTGTGTATAATAAATTTGAGGATAATGGCTTACAAAAAAAATCTGAGAGGTTTTTACAAGCTATCAACATTACCCAACTAATAAAAGCTTGATACAGTATATTTCACTTTGCATGTAGTGAGTCTGTCTTGTATAGCTTTAAGACAGTGGAAAAGGAAGGAGGACCCCACGTTTTGAACAAAACTCTCTGGTCTTATTTGACGAGCACCTATCAGCAGAATGATTGACTATTGGGAGGACCAATAGTCTTGAGGATCCACCTTGAAGTAGAAAATCCTCCTAAATACCTTTAAATAAATTGACTTTTACTGACACTGGGTTTTTTATGTGGTTTTACGGCAAATGTAAAAACCCATCCTTGAATCTTGATTATTTGCAGTTTCAATATGTGCTAAATTCCTATCTTTTCCTTTTCTTGATTGTGACATGATGTGTTTGAACCGAAATAACTTCAATGATGAAAACGAAAGAGCCTTTGAAGATACTGAAGAAGTTTATTAGTAGACACTCATCAATCAGAGGAATGTCATCCTGAAAACACCATTTGATTGGCAGTGTAAAATAAGGCAAATGGTTTCAGATCATTTGTACACTTCTGCATCGACAGAAAGCGCACATTAAATACATTCACTTGATACACCACTTTACCCCCAATCGACCCCCTGTGCCAATGGAGTCAAATAGTGACTAACGGATATCCCTACGACCAGAACAGTTGATCTCCCAGGACTCTCAGGAGGAACTTCCAATCCCCTTCATTGGCAAAAAATACTCATGTGTTTTTGGTCACACAAAGAATTATTTCAGTGAGTTGCTAAAGTACCCAGTTTTTTTTTTTTTCTCTGTAGCACCAGAAGATCAAAAAGCTATGTATTTGCAGCATCTACTTTCATACTCATACCAAAGTCTGTTTTATCTGTTTTGTGTAATAGGTGAAACATGAAGATTGATACTTTTGCGTGCGTTACATTCAGGAAGTTATGCAACATGAAAAGCCAAAGCCAATTACAGGTCCTTCACAAAACCTTTTGAGTTGATTATATATTATTTGTTTTGGCCTCATGACAATCCTTCATTCTCAATGCATGATAGACTGAGCTCTTGACATTTTTTTTAAACTGGAGGGTCCCATTCAGATTTTAGACTCTCTATTTGAGGGGAGTGGAGAAGTGGTTCTTAGTTGTGGAACTTGAGCACCCGGATGAAATCTGCTCAGAGAACAATGCAAAGTCCACGCAGAAAGCCCACGTCTGGAGGTGGAATTGAACCCAGGACCTTCTTGCTGTGGAGCACAAGCGCTAACCACTGCACCACCGTGTATTTCTTTGTACTTTCTTTCATATGTGTATATATATTTTTTTCTGCTCATTTCTATAGTGTCTGGCCTATAGTCTGAACACCTTGCAGTTAGTGGGTGACCCTTCTCTTTGCTCAGCCGCTTTCATCATTACGCCCTCATCAGATGTTCATGTGGCTAAATCTTTCATAGGAACAACTCTTTATCAAACAAAATGACACACTCATAAGACTTGGACATAAAAGTGACGCTCTTGTGTTTCGTCTGTTGAATGCAGCTTTTCTGTACAGGGACAGGAACCAAGACAAAAGTACGGCGCTCATTTCCAAAACATCAAATTTTCCCCATTTTGTTTCAACTATCCACTAGTTATTCTAAATACAACACAAACATTGCGAGATATCCTTGAGAGTCATTTGCAGCTGGTACTTTTAAATTCTGGACATAAAAACTCGAGTTACATTACACAAAGTAGTAAAAGGTGTGACATTAAAAGCAAAAGAACATAAGTTCACAGAGAAGCACTGTATATAGAGATATATTTATATACTTTAGAAAGTCATAGAAAAATATATATTCATTTAAATGCCCATTGTACAGTTTTACACAGTAGTATCAGAAAAGGGATGATTGAAGAAGATGGAGATACAAAGAGAACAGTGTTCATGAGAAGATTGCTGCAGTAAAATATAGAACACATTTCTGTTATCTATAAAAGCCAAAGTGAGCTGTGTGAAGAATAAAGTGACAAGGTAAAAAGAGGAATGCTACGATTAGTGTAGAAAGCTTTCAGAAGGGCAGCACTTGACACAGTTCCAAATATTTATACTATGGATATAATTTCAATATAGTAAGGCTTATGCTTGAGCATAAGAAGCAGCTTAGTAAACCACCACCACAATATATATTTGTGTTAGTACTACGCATTTACACAGAGGTATACTAATGCAATATGCACTGTAAGTCAAACAGCAGGAGGTTTGATCAATTATATTCACAAGTCACAAAAACCAGGAATGCTACTATGTTATTTGTCAAATGTCCAATTGTTGTAACATTTTGACTATTCATATACTGTATGTAACTCAGCCTATACACACCTAATCATAACGTGATCAGTTGCATAGTTACGGAGAGGAATACCAATGACCTTGACAACCACTATTGACCACTGACAGTTTAATGATTAACTTAATTATAATCAGTTTCGTGATTTGATATGAACCCTGCTTTTACTGGCGTTGTCTTCTGTAGCGAGATACTGAATCTAATCGTGGTTGTCAAGAACATTTCTCCCTCCGTAACTATAGAAATGATCATGTTGCAAATAGGTGTAAAGTATAAATGTACTGTATATAATGATTGCAGCTTAAATTTACAAAACACACAACTGTCACACATTTGCTATAGATGCTATTTGACTCACAGTGAGTTTCAGTTTAAAGCCAGTTGAACAACAATACACTTTATAAGCATACAATTTTAGAACCCAATTGCATTAGAGAGAAAGAGAGACCGAGAGGGCGCACAATTGCATTTAGGACAGGATACATAATATTAGTACAGTTATCACATAAACCATTTGATAATATACCGGGATTTAGAAATATCATGTCGGACCAGTTTGTCAGCTCCGAGAACGTTTGGCTTTTGCGGGAGATACACAGTCTTTGCGAAATATGCTGTGGAATGTGAGTGTGATTGAATAGACCAATGTTTTAGTGTATATCCTTAAAAGGCTTTGAATAGTTAAACATCTGATAGTCCATGTAGTAGAAATCATACACACGCTGCCTCTGCCATGGTGTGACCTGTGCGAAATACTTCTCTGTGATCTCACTGGAAGTCTTTTGGTCTTTTGGGTTCCTGTCTTTAAACTGCGGTAGTGTCAAATTCTCAGGAGCCTTTAAAAGTCGTAACAAAAGGTTTGACTCTTCTTGCATGTTCTCAAATTTACCTATAAAGTTGTAATCTATGAGACAGGGGTGGCAGAGGTTCTCCACCAGGTTCCAGTGGATGTCCATTCCAACCGGTCGATGCACGTCCAATAAATACTGAACAAATTCCGCAAACGATACGCCATCCCCTGTGTTTAGGGCCTCTGCAGAAGGGTGAGTCCTGTATTTAGTAATGATCGGTCTTCCGTATATACTGTGGTAGTGTTTGTTTGGATTCTCAAACTTGTCCCTGTAAGCAGAAACCAGCCTTTCCATAGGTTCTCGTGCAAAGACAACTTTAGTGTAGCTTTGGAGGCGGTGCATGATGCCTTTGTAGTCAAAACTGTCCAGCTTCTTCAGGTGATTCTTATAGTGGACCGTGTCGTGCGAAATCGAGTGTGTGTCGGAAGCCAGGCCGGCAAGAACCATCAATGTCCTCTTCCAGTTTGAGCAGCCGGCTTTGGGAACCTCGCAGTAGAGTATCTTGTACCTATCCTCCACGTAGATCATGCGCACATGCTCTCGAGTGATAGTTCTAGAAGTGTGGCTTTTGTATTTGGCACACATGTTTTTCATCAGCTCCCGGCGAGCCTCCAAAGTCCGAGGCAGCTTCATCCTGTTTTCCGAGGGGGAGGAAGGAGAAGGGGGTACGTTGTTAGTGCGATGCAGTTGTGGTCCGGTTTTCAAAGTCTTTCTGGATTTAGGGGTGACCGTAAGCAGTTCCAGCACTTGTTTTGATGACTTGTGGTGAGCCGGTTGCTTGTTCTTCTCAAAGTTGGGGAATTGCATGGGGGGGATTAGGCTCGAGACGTCCTCTGGAAGGTGGTCTGTGATGAGGTCTAATTTTTCTCCATCCTTGTCTTTTGTAGAGAGAGTCTGTCAAAACAAAAATAAACAAATTGTTAACATTACATGATTTTCAGGTGAATTTTTTTATTCACTGGTAATTGGCATTACAGAGAGACATTTAGTCAGATTCCAATTACTATCTACCTAGCTAAGTCATTATAATAAGTTACCAATTCACAGTTGCTCAGACCTTATATAACAATATAATAAGGTAATGTTTTTGGTATGTTTTGCGAAGGACAACCGGAGTGCCTGGAGGAAACCCACCCATACACAGGGAGAATCTCCACACAAAAAGTCTGGGCTGTCATGGGTATAAAGAAATATTCTTGTGTAAATGTACATGTTCAAGAGTAGCTTTCTTGCAGAAACAATATGAAAAAAGCAAATCTAATGGCCATGTCTAAAAAAAATTCATATATTTAAATAATCATCACAGTTTGATATGCATCATGCTGCCCCATCCACACAGCATGTCATATGATGTTTCTCCACTTGGTGGGGCTGTTTGGACATCTTAATACCACAATGAAAGCTTTTTCTCTGACGTATACTTCCCCATGTGCAGCCTATAATTCATAAATCGTGCTGTAAAATCATATAAATGTCTATTAAACTCAAAATGAGGAATCTAAATAATAATCATTGACTGCCTGATTACCATAAGATAAGGATCCAGGCCATCACACATTCTGACATTTTATTTCAATTATATGCTGTAATGGCACCATAAAGCCAATGAACTCAATGTATAATTTTTATTTTACAACAGACAAGGTAATAAGGCCTCTATGAATCTCAGCCTATCCTCCCAGACTGGAATGGACACATAACTTCGAGTGGTGGAGCGAGAACGATGGGAGGAACGCTTCTCCCTTCTCTGTTTAATGTGCAAGGTGAACGCTGCGTGGCCAGTAACCTACAGACAGCTCCTCCCTCGGGTTTTCATCAGAGCGAAGCGCCGATGCTCCGATAGATTCAGCTTTGTACAAGTCATACACACCACCTCCTGCCCTTTTTCTTTGACCCATCTGCAGTTGAGAAGCCAAACTCTTTGAAAGTTCTAAGGTGCTGCTATATAGGCCAGAGGAACAGTTGACCATAGAATGAGTTTTTCTTATCTTACTGTTGGTATTCTGTTTACTTTTTAAACTTCAGTCTGGATAGGGAAGACAACATGTAACAGTCCAGTGATGTGTTGTTTTTTCCAGCCCAGATTCTTTGTCCGCACATCTGATTGAGAGCTACATAGCTGACAATCAGATAGTAGGTGTGAAAGATGAGATAGAGTAATCAAGTACCTCTCTGGACTGCCGTGGAGTGCTTCTCAGCTTCACACCTGTGGAAAAAGAAGAGAAAAGGAAATTAGCAAATTCTCCACAGCCCAAGAATGTGTACAATGTGTGTGTGAGAGAGATAAAATGTGTACAATATGTGTGTGTATGTGTGTGTGAAAGAGAATGTGTGTGCTGCTCAGAGCCATTTCCCCTTTCAGACGTCGCAAGTGAATATAGAACAACAATGATAAACATAAATCTTTTCAGGATAAATATATGAGTGACATGGAGACCAACAGCCACACGTAATAGTTGTGAGTCCACAGGGTATAAATACAATCAGTATAATAATAATAATAAAAAAAAAAAAAGCCTTTTCAAAAAAAATCACTGTCTTTGTGTTCTTTGTCATGTGATAAAAAGCTCCACAGTTGAATGCCAGCAGAATGATTCAAGTCTGCGTTGCCAAAATCTCCAAACCACCTGGCACACCCACAGTTTTAATCATTAGTAACTTTGTAATTCTTCTAACACAACAGTTGTTCTCGTCTAGCACCGATCTCAGCATCCGTCCATCACAGTTAGAAGTCTGTAACTGTAGGCTTGGCTGTCAGCGAGGACAAAACAGCTGTTGAATTAAGTTGCCTCGCGTTATTTGGCGGTGGGAAGATTGAAAGTGTTCGATTGTGAGCGCTGAAGAAGGCCCAGATTGGTGTTGGAGGCGACAGGTGCAATGTGCGCAGGCAGATGTGCGGGAACAGCTCAGACAGTGTGCTCAGAGTCCCCAGCTGGACATTTCCTTTCCTTCAGTCGCATCCCAATACAATCCCCTCATACCCCCCCTGCTGATATGTAATCAAGCTGACAGCTCTGAGTGGAGTTGCATGGACGACGATTGGGAAGGGGGACACAGACACCTCTGCCTGAGTGGCCTGTCACTTTCAATTTGATGGTGGAAGTGATGTGAATCTGCACTGGGGGGAGTTGGAGCGGGGCGGGCAGGGTATAGGCCTTCCCTAAGTGATGAGATCTGTGCGACCATATCTCGCATTATCAACGCTCCGGTGGGCAGCGGATACATTTATGTTGGTGCGATGCAATGTTGTTTTAGATTAGTATTTGCTGGAAAACCTGTGTCACTGTCTGGCTCGCTGATTCGGGTTTGGGTGCGAGAGGAACATTGGAGAAATGGGAAAAAGACCTGAATATATACACTGCTTGTGACATTTTCTAATCTTGTTTTTCGCGGCTTCTGCTGTTTGATCCTTAACCTTAACGATGGTTCGTGTAGCGGGTCAGTACCTATGAAATCACTAGGTGCGAAAGCCATGAATATTTATGGTCGTACTCGGCTGCCTTTGCCAGAGGAACACATCCAAGTGCAACAATAACAGCTCTCTTTCATAGACTGTTGTCCTGAACTTGATGAGGTAGAGCCGGCCTTTGTACTCGCCATCTAGACACACTCTTGTATATCGATCCTGCAAACCCCATCAAACTGGTAATTGAAATCTCTAAAAGTCTAATTATTTCCTCCTGGAACTTTTGTTGTGTACTTGTTCTGTCTAGCATGTCTGTGTTTGAATTTACATACAGAGGGAAGTTGCATGGTGGTTGAGAGTGATATGGGGTGCCGTTTGTAAAAATTCTGTTAAAATTTTTTAGCTGAACATTTTTCTACATTTAGCTCACTTTCCTCACATTTAGCACATTTTCCTCACATTTAAGACATATCTATATCTAAATATTATATCTATATCTAAATGTTAAATGTTATATCTAAATATTATATCTATATCTAAATGTTATATCTATATCTAAATGTTAAATCTAAATGTTAAATCTAAATGTTAAATCTAAATGTTAAATCTAAATGTTAAATCTAAATGTTATATCTATATCTAAATGTTATATCTATATCTAAATGTTATCAATCAATCAATCAATCAAAGTTTATTTGTAGAGCGCCTTTCATACACAGGGCAACACAAAGCGCTTCACAGTCCACATCACAAATCATCACATAAAACAAACACCAGAATCACAATTAAAACATTAAAATCACACAAAAGATTAAAACACAATTAAAACATTACAATCACACAAAAGAATAAAACCATTAAAACTTTCAAAATTACACAAGAAATTTAAAAAAATAAATAAATGACAGCAGTGCATTAGAAATGGAGATAAAATCCTTCAGTTGTATGCACAGGCAAACAGAACAGTCTTTAACCTGGATTTGAACATTGACAGAGTAGACGCCTCCCCCACATTTTCAGGGAGATTGTTCCAGATCTTAGCTGCATAGATCTGAAACGCAGCCTCCCCATGTTTGGTTCTCACTCTGGGCACCAGCAGGAGGGCAGTCCCTGTGCTCCTCAGAGTCCGGGCCGGTTCATATGACACCAACATGTCACTAATGTATTCTGGTGCAAGGCCATGGAGAGACTTGTACACAAGCAGAGCTGTTTTAAAATCTATTCTTTGAGCCACAGGAAGCCAGTGCAGAGACCTGAGGACCGGACTAATATGGTCATACTTCCTGGTTCCTGTCAGGACTCTAGCTGCTGCATTTTGGATGTACTGCAGCTGCTTACAGGTCTGTTTGGACAGACCTGTAAGCAGGCCATTGCAGTAGTCTAGCCTGCTGGAGACAAATGCATGGACAAGAATCTCCAAGTCTGCCCTGGACACTATATTTCTAACTTTGGCAATGTTCTTCAGATGGTAAAAAGCTGTTGATGTTATTGATTTTATGTGGCTATTGAAATTTAGGTCTGAGTCCAGTATTACCCCCAAATTTCTGACCTTGTCTGAAGGAAGTAGGGAGAGAGACTGAAGTTGACAAATGACGCCCTCTCTATGTTTCTGGGGACCAAAGACAATGATTTCGGTTTTGTCTGCATTTAGCTGGAGGAAATTATTTTGCATCCAGTCACTGATCTGTTGGATACAGTGAAGGAGCAAATCCAGTGGTCCATGTTCTCCTGCAGTCAGTGAGACATAGATCTGAGTGTCGTCGGCGTAATTGTGGTAGGACACTTTGTTTCTTTGTATTAACTGACCTAACGGCAGCATGTAGAGATTAAATAGGAGAGGTCCCAGGATCGACCCCTGTGGTACTCCACAGGTCAGGGCCACATGATCTGAGACGCAGTCTCCAATCTCCACAAAGTACTTCCTATCCTCCAGGTAAGACCTAAACCAGTCTAGGGCTGTGCCAGTGACACCAACCCAGTCCTCCAGTCTCTGCATGAGGATCTCATGGTCGACAGTGTCGAACGCGGCACTAAGATCTAACATGACCAAAACTGTGACTTTACCTGCATCAGTGTGAAGTCGAATGTCGTTTGTTACCTTCACTAGAGCGGTCTCAGTACTGTGGTGGGGTCTAAACCCAAACTGGAACATATCAAAAGAATTATTCATTGTTAAAAATTCAGTAAGTTGTTGGGAGGCCACTTTTTCAAGAATTTTTCCAATGAATGGTAGATTCGATATGGGGCGATAATTTTGAAGTCCCGCAGGATCCAGACTGCTCTTTTTTAGGAGAGGTCTTATGACTGCTGTTTTTAGGGCCATAGGAAATGTTCCTGACGTTCCTGAATGTTATATCTATATCTAAATATTATATCTATATCTAAATGTTAAATGTTATATCTAAATATTATATCTATATCTAAATGTTAAATCTAAATGTTAAATCTAAATGTTAAATCTAAATGTTAAATCTAAATGTTAAATCTAAATGTTAAATCTAAATGTGTCGCCAAGTGTAAAGCTAAATATATAGAAACCACGCCCACTGCAGTGGCTTCAAATCCAGTGGGCCCGCCTTCCGTGCCGTGTGGTGAGAACCCTACAGGATTACACAGGAATCTCACGGGACTCCACGTGGCTTAGTTTACAGTGAATACACTCTGGCTCCAGCAAATAAGCAAGAATCTTCACAAAAATGCTAATTTTGTGCCGTGGCCAAGGACGATGGCGCCGGAGACCCAACATGCCTTGAGCCGTGACGTCGGTCCACGTGTATTCCTATGTTCAAAACACGCGGCACCGCCCCCACTCACCACACGGCACGGAAGGCGGGCCCACTGGATTTGAAGCCACTGCAGTGGGCGTGGTTTCTATATATTTAGCTTTACACTTGGCGACACATTTAGATTTAACATTTAGATTTAACATTTAGATTTAACATTTAGATTTAACATTTAGATTTAACATTTAGATATAGATATAATATTTAGATATAACATTTAACATTTAGATATAGATATAATATTTAGATATAGATATAACATTTAGATATAGATATAACATTTAGATATAGATATAACATTTAGATTTAACATTTAGATTTAACATTTAGATTTAACATTTAGATTTATCATTTAGATTTAACATTTAGATTTAACATTTAGATATAGATATAATATTTAGATATAACATTTAACATTTAGATATAGATATAATATTTAGATATAGATATGTCTTAAATGTGAGGAAAATGTGCTAAATGTGAGGAAAGTGAGCTAAATGTAGAAAAATGTTCAGCTAAAAAATTTTAACAGAATTTTTACAAACGGCACCCCATAGAGTGAATGTAAAGATGGTAGCATTTACATGTCCAGTCAAGGAAGGACATGTGGAGGCCGACTTTCATGTTTTAACTTGGGACAAACAGAAGACATAATGTTCGGATGATCAGGTGGGTTGGCGTCTTTTGTTGTGATGCACATTGCCATATGAAATGCTCTGTCTGATCAAGTTCTGTCTGAGAATAAAACTTCCACGGTTCACGGGTGTGTAAGATCGTCGCCTTAGTCTTTTCGACAGACATTATGAATAGAGATGATTGGGTGATATTTTAATTCAGTTAAGGTATGGACTTTTTGATTACTTTTCCTTTTATTTTGATATTTGATATTGGTTCTTCATTGTCTGTTTTTATGTCTGTTCTGTTAATTGCCTGTCTCGCCCTAATGTGTATTTAAACCCTGTGCTCCTCTCCCCTTGTTGTGGGTTCATTGTGATATTGTCCCTGTTTTTGTTCTGGTTTGAGTTTTTAGTTCTGTATCCTGGATTTTGTTTTTGTTCATTAAATTTTATATTTTGGCAGTCCTGCATTTTGGGTCCTTCATCCTTTTCAGAACGTGACAGAACGAACCAACCTCTATGGGACTCAGCAGACTGCGTTTATTTAGATTTTTCCACACCTGCTCCCTCCACAGTGCCATCAGTTAAGTTTACTGTGACGTAGGTAATGCGCCCGAGTGAGTCATTAACACTTAGCATTTAGCCTAGCCATCTCCATTTGCCTTTTGTCTAGCGATTACATTTGCTACAACTTTCTTATTGCTCCAGCTTCAATTTCTTGATAGAACCAGACCGGCTTACTTTACTATCGCATTTTTCGCCATTGCCAAACTACGACCTTCCCATTCGACGCAAACTCCTGACGTCACCCACAACATACTACAACACCCGCCTCCCGCGCTCGCTGGTTAGTCGGTCGAAATTCAAGCGATTGTGATCGCTAACCCAGGGACCAGACCCAGACGTTACATGCAGTGAAATGATGATTGAGCGGAGTGTACGGATGGCTAAGGCTAGGCTAACACTTGTAGTGTTCCTGAAGCCACTGCCAGACACTGATCTCCGTCTGGGGTGGTTTGTCTTCAGTGCCTGCCTTTGAGCCACCGCCGGTCATCCCTCTTCGTTCGGGGTGGTACCCTGTTCCCCTGGCCTTGTGGTATGTCAACCTGTTGTGGACCTCACCCTGCCCCTAACCCAGAACCACCGCTGGACAAAGTTCTCCATCTGGGGTGGTTATTTCCTGGGCCTCGTTTTGTGCCACCGCCGGGCATATGGTCCGTCCGGGGTGGTCCCGTGTTCCCGGAGGTCTACATTGGGTTCCAGCTTGTGTCCTGCTTGGCTACCTCATGGAACTACCTATTGACCCTCCTCCCAGACTCCCACCACCCTCCTGTGTTCGGTTCTGTTGGGACATCTGGAAGCTGTCCCTTGGAGGGGGGTACTGTTATGGTGTGGACTTTTTGATTACTTTTCCTTGTTTTGATATATTGGTTTTTCATTGTCTGTTTTCATGTCTGTTCTGTTAATTGCCAGTCCCGCCCTAATGTGTTTCATCTGTGTGTCCCTGTGTGTATTTAAACCCTGTGCTCCTCTCCCATTGTTGTTGGTCCATTGAGATTTTGTCTTGATTTTAGTTTTTAGTTCTGTATCCTGGATTTTGTTTTTGTTTATTTTCGTTAATCTTATATTTTGGCAGTCCTGCATTTTGGGTCCTTCATCCTTTTCAGAACGTGACAATGTCTGCCACTTATTTAAAATTCAAACTTAGAATATCATTCCCAAGCTCCTTTCTTCCTGTACTTCAGAAACAAATTAAAATAGGAAACTAATGATATCATTTTGATTATGGCTTACTGTCCATATTCAAAATATTCTACATTTCTGAGATGTTTTATTTGTGTGTAAGCCAATTATCAACATTATTACAAATATGGGCTTGATTTCTCACTTTGCCTGCCTATTATTTTCACTTGATAAGGTTAAAAACAGAAAATGGACTTTTGAATGAGGATCCAAGTTTCATCTGTGCCTTGAATAATCTACAGTTCCATTGAAACAAGTCACATCATTATGTGAGTTTCCAAGTCATATCTGTGGTTAGGCGAGCTCGCACTAGGAATATGGGATCATTATAAATATCTTTAATTAATTCATGCGTTTTAACACCAGCATAAAAGTCACCATAGCAACAAGTATACTCTATATTGCAGACTTCTTGAGCAGTTCCTCTTAAGAAAGGATTCAATATCTACATTTCTCTGATTTTTCTACTCAGCCTGACTGGTTTTAGGCAAAGAGCTCAAGCACATTTGACAGATGTCGGCTAAAAATCATTCGTAAATAAGGTTCAACATTATAAAATGCAATCGTCTCTCAAGTGTGATGCACAAATTACATTTACAAGGCGTCGTTTTAAAGAAAGACTGAACAATGTAATAGAGTGCAAAGTGGATTTCGGGGGGATTTGTAAACATCATTCATCTCTGCTGTATCTATTTGGTGGAGGCTAATAGTTGCTGTTTGATTGCAATTTCACACTCAGTCAATTCCACTCAGTAGAACTATGCTATTGATTTTTACTGCTGTGCGGCGAAACAGTGATAAATTGTTAAGACGGTTGTTTGATCCGAGGCCCCATAAATCCACACGGCCCCTTCTACACACAGAGCAATTATTCAAAAATAGTTAGAATGAACCACTTGGAATGCTAATATTAATTAAATCCAGATGACCTGCTTAGAATATGTATTGTAACCTATTTTGTTAAATCAGTGTTGCATTCTGTAAATGCTGCATAGAACTCCAGCTTTAGCGTTGCTGTCTGCTGAGCAATGAAAATATAATCAACAATGTTTTATTTTTCTTCACCAATACCTATAGATAAAAGCCTGATCACTGTCATATATATTTTTCATTTGTGCTTGGCACATGTCATTCTGCTTTGAGTACCTCTGCGAATGGAAAAACATCTGAACTCTGAGCATTGTGAAGCGCTTTGGGGTGACCTTGGTCTGTAAAATGCACTTGATAAATAAACATGACTTACTTACTTAATTACCACCAAATGAGTATCTGTACTAAATTACTGTTACACAAACATGTGTGCATTTTTGAACCACATATTCAATCAGGGGCTGGTGCTCTGTGTACTGGGTGCAGCTCTGACTGCCACCCCCCGACCCAGAAATGGATTAAGGGGAAGAAAATGGATGGATGGATATTCAATTAGTTCAAAGCACAGCTGACAACCTAATATTCAACAATAAAAATTAAACTTTAACTTATCTTCATAATTGAGAAATATGTCCACTGCATTTAGTGAAAATATTTCCCGCAGTGAAGACATGACCTTCCTCCATCTTTTCTAACTAAGCATTATTATTCATGATGTCACTTGTGGTGTCCTAATTCTGCTTTGACTTTTTGGTTTCAGCCGGATTTGAAAAGCTCTTGTCCTGCACTGCCCTCCACAGTCACCTTGAGTGAGCCCTTCCCACTGATCGGCCCTCGTGAATATTCATGCAGACAGCACAGAATAACCGTGATCCGGGGCCACATCATTAGCAGACATTGTGCCCATCATCCTCCTCTCTCAACGTTCTCCAACTGATCAACACATCAAACGCCTACTTCTTCTGCCATCGTGCCGGCCGAGGAGCAGAGGACAAAAACGCCGTGCACTAATGAGCTGTTTAGTGACAGGCAATGACCTCTCTGTTGTGCACGGACTTATTAAACACGAGATTTGGACCCAGACTGCACCAGAGTGCCAATAAAGCCAGACAGGGCGTGTCTCTGTCTCACAAACAGCAGTAAACTTAGTCTTAGTCATTGCACACTTCAGAGCTGCTTTCTCCCCAGCTTCTCGCCCACACCTGGGCTGACTCGCTCCTCCTCCACATCGACGAGGGAATATGAGACGTTCATTGCCGACGCATTTGAACAGAAAGAACGGAGGTGTTGAGCTAGAGTTCATTGATGTTTTTTTACTTGTTTCTTAAAATATTTAGCTATATTCTTTTCATAACTTTCCCTTTTAAGACGTTGAAAATATAACTTTTGATAGTTGTTGGTTTAGAAGTGCTGTTCCTTTGGGCTTTTAGAAATTTAATTAGGAATGTGTTTATGTTGGCAGCCCTTCCTAACACAATATTAAATCTTTTAAAATTGGGACTGGCTACATTTTCTGTATGTGTCAAGATTGTAAAATAAACTATGTGCTAAAATAATGAGGGAAATAGATTTCCTTTATTTGGGGCCTCAAGGTCGTCATTAAAAAAGATACAAAGTTACATGAAAAAAAGTAAAGGGAGTAAGTAATCATTATTTTTATACTGCCTTCATCGAGTCACAAAGCTCTTTCCAAATGTTGTTGGTATTCCTCTCACTCCACACATTGATGAGAGCGGGCTCACCTGTACATAGCCAGACCTACTGTACGAAAGATTAAGAGTCCCACAGTGGGGAAATTTCAGTATTGCATCACCAGTCACAGAACAGTACGAATGAGCACACAGCACAAGGTAAATGAACACACTTCATGATAAGATAAATGAACAGATCTCTATACTAAACTCTTTACTAAATAAAATAACAGAAGATACATTTTCTAGCTTTAGCAGGAAGGGGAAAGCGGAGGACCTAGAGCAGACACGTCCAAACTCAGGCCTGCGGGCCAGTTGCGGCCCTCTGTACCATTTTATGTGACCCTCTGCTACTAATACAAAGTTGCCATTGAGGCACTTGGTGTCATCCGACCAACTCCAGCTCCACCAATAGAGTTATGCTATTCCTTGCTATAAATCTCAGACCCTTTGCAATTCAGTCGTTAACTCTATTGTTATATACTGACATTTGTTTTATGATTGTGTCACAACAATCAAATAAAATGTAGCTGTGGTGTGAATCAATAAGGACGTATAATCAAAATCCATCTCGAATCCAGTTTTTTTTTCAAATCCAGGTTGTGGGCCCCAGGTCAAGTCTGATGAACTAGACTGGCTCTCTTACTAAAAGGTTTGGACACCCCTGACCTAGAGGAAACCAACACCGACACAGGGAGAACATGCAAAATTCACTCAGAAAGGCCCGCTCAAGGCCAGGACCTTGTTGTTGCCCAAGACTGCACCACTGTACCACCCACTGCATATTGGACTGTGGAATGTAGTATCAAAGTGTTTAAACCAGTCTGAATAAATGTGTTTTGAATGTGAACTGGACATGTGGGAGAGTGTCAGTGTTGGGAAGGTCAGGGGGAGGGTTCATGAGACCAGATTAATTTGATTTATCCTAAGCAGTCTTTAAATACCAATTGCGACTGTGCTAATTCCTGTTAAAATAATTGCATATTCATAGAAAACTAGCAACGCCATCCGTGTATGACTTTCTCTCACACCGCATGACCCGTTCTGCACATTTCATCTCCAGCTTACATCTTCGCCAATACGGTTTGCATTACTAGTCAAATAGATTAATTACACAGGCATCCGCATCATGACCGCCCCCCGTGAACTCAAGACTTCCGCAGAAAGTCAAGCTTCAGACTGCTCCATAAATCGCCCGCCATTAGTTAAAATTCACACGAGACGCAGGACACTTCCCCTCCGATCTCTCTCGTTAATGTCGTGCACCATAAATAACACATGCTTTTGTCTCATAGGTGCGCAGAATACTAAACCATGGTCGGCATGTCAGGAGATGCTTAGCGAGAAACAAGTATTAATAGAAAAATGTGTTAGTGAATTCACGCCTCTGCTCTATTTTTACACACCTGTAAATGAGAAACAGATGTGGCAGTTCCACAGGCATCGCCGCTTTCATCACACCACACAAAACTTCTTTGATGAACGTACTGTATATAAGTGAACTGTGAAGCTATTGAGTGAAACTTGTGTCTTTATCATTTAAAGGGACTGTATGCAATAATTCTGCTACAAGTATCTCCTAAGAACTGCTTGTTGATGCAAACCACCTGCTGGGGTTTGGCGAGAAAGAGAACAAACTCTTTATGTTACGTATGACTACTTATTTTTGTACCTGGTTGGATTAAGATAGATAGATAGATAGATGGATAGAAAGATAGCTAGATACTTTATTGATCCCCCTTGGGAGTAATTCAGGTGTCCAGTAGCAGCAGAAACACAACCAACGATACAAACACAACAAATAAATACATATATACATAAAAAGGAGCAAGATATGAGCCAAAATAAGCAAAATTTCACAAAACAAACTGGCAACAAAAAATAAGTGCCTCATTCTGCTCTCTGGTTGGATAATCTGTGTAAACATAAATATTATGAGCATCATATTCATGTTTTTTTTGTTGGGAATATCTGCTTGCTAAACTTTTGTTCAGAAAAGGTCAAATATAATTCGTACATGACCTTTTATCTGGGGACACAAAGATGGATTAAGGGGAAGAAAATGGATGGATGGATGGATATTACAGTACACAGTGTCCTTTTAATTGTCTCCACATTGAGATATACTTGTTTTTTCATAATCTTACAATTCTCTGGCAACGTAGGGACCAGACACAGCAGGGTGTTATAATGAAGCTAGCAGATAGGCAGCATGCTCAAAGGGAGTATCAAATGTACTACTGATTACTGTTATGACACTTCCAACCCGGCTACACTATTTTCCGAGTCAATCTTACTTTCAAGGTTGGGAGCTGTAAAGACTTCCCAGGGCACATTTCTATGGCAACAGAGAGCGCGGCGTGGGGGTCTGGCGAAAGAAGGTAGGCAGCTTGGTTTTAATACACACACACAAGGAGAGGGATGTGTAAACAAATGGTACCTGTCTGAAGCGAGCCCCAGGTTAAGTGAATTATCGCGGCTCCGATGAGACGTGCACAAGGCAAGTAATTGGGATGTATCTTATTTAGAGGCTGCAGAAGGTTTTGCAGAGTGTGCGGTAAAAACATTGGTACAAGACAACTATAATTTAAAGGTGCTGCGCAGAGAAATTAAAACGTCATAACCAACATTAAAAATGCATCAAAATTCAGAGCATGTCTTTTAATCCACTTGGTGCTGTTTTTTGTTGTTGTTCCTTGCAGATGTAGGAGGGTCTAACAACAGTGACTTTGTGAGGACCTCCAAGGTGACTGCTGTTGTGATTTAAGGATATACCCAAATACCTTTAATTGAATATTTTTGTTTATTTTGTTTCCTTTCTTCATTAAAGCCCGGCTGTCTCTTTTTCACTTTTCGGTCAGATAAAATTGATCTAAAGATGTGACACAGGCCAAAAGTTTGGTACTCCAGCTTTCAGGACGTTATTAAACAAGAATGGTAAAATATTTTTGCATCAGTAATTTATCCTGTTTGTGTCTATATTTGTGCATCAACCTGGCTGTTACTGACCAGACTTTTGCTCCAGACTTCTACTGTTACTTGCAAGTTGAGCTGAATCCAAAGCAGACAGCTCCTGGTGCTGAAATCTCCGCTCACACAAGTGAAGCTGTTTCTCCCAGATGGCCACAGAAGCATGCACCACTAAAATGAATGCTGACTTAAAAACCATTATTTAGTCAAGATTTAAAATGTATTTTTAACTCCTGATATTCTTGTTCGGCAGTTTTATATTGAGATGCATCTTGTATATTTTGTTTTTACATTTCTGCCGAACTGTTCAAGTGATGCTAAGTCTTTGTAGAGTCTCCATGGCCCCACGCTCGCCTTTATTTGCAGTGAGATTGGTAAGAGGGAATTGGCCCTGTCACTGTTTACTCAGCACTTTCATTTGAGTTGCTTCACGTATACCTCCACACCCTGGGCTGTTTTCTGACAGCGCTCTCCTAATTACTGCAGCGACTGAAGGCCAGACATGTGAACAAAGCCCAGCCGTTCATCCTGAATGCTAACTCTATAGTTTAGGGACTGCACAGATACAGTGCAATGTTAACTAATTAATGTATTTATGTAGGATCTATACAAGGTAATGTGGTTTCTGTCAGGTCTCCTCATATTCCTCTTTTCCCATGAGCTTGAATACTCTATTCCTACTGTAGGCTGTCAACATGGTTAACATCATGGAGATTCTCATGTTCTCACACAGTCACACAGACACACACACTAATATTAAAATAGATTTGTCTTCTTGAGTTTTGAAATTTAACATTCATTTCTTACTCTTAGTCCCATTAGCTTAATGTTAATATCACTATTTTAGAAAAACAAGTCATTAACTCATAGCAACTTATCTTATTTTAGAAAATGGTAGAATGAGGTACAGTTAACTGAAGGAATAATGTATAAGAGTCTGAGGAAACAACAATATTGTGGAGCTGGCCCGGCCCTCACATCCTTTGTTTGTCAGGGCATATCGCCTGTATTTACGACTGGTGTCAGAGACCTGCAGTTTGGTCCTATGAAGTTTTGGATTTATGAGGATTTATAGGCCCATACATAATATCCACATACTCTTCTCCGTGGCAACAACCTTGGGCATATACAGACTGTAACTACATGTTTACTATATTTTACCAAATAGTTACAAATGGAAAAAACGATGTCAGGATTTGGAGCAAGCTCAATATTTGGTGGTGAGACTTGCTACAATAACATCAGAGCATGAGTGAAGTTGCTGCAGTGACGAAGGAGGAGATTGCGGAGAGGAAACAATATAAAGAAACCCGGCTGACAGGAAGGAAGTCCAATTCTCCATGTCCGCTGAGTAAATACATTACAGTAATATGACAGGAGGATAATCGTGTAGAGGGAACAGATGACTGTGTTTAAACATGGGTCTCCGGAACAAATCTATATACCTGTGTGTGCACGCATTATGATGCTGAGCAGAACGGTGAGCACCAGAGCCTTATTACGGTGTCTGTGCCCTTGGAGCATGCATTGTTAACGTGCCTAGTGGCTCACCTCTGGACTCCTGGCAGCCCACAAACACCTCCATCCCAGCCT